GCTCGATCAGAGAGAACCATGGGATGAATCTTTCACTAGTTGCAGCGTTGCGCTGGCTCGTTCTGTGTGCCGTGAACGTCGCGGGAAAACGTGAGCACGTAAGCGCAAGCTCGCACCGATCTGGCTTGTCAAGCAGCTGTTCTGTCGCGCATCGACCAGCTGTTGAGGCCGGAAACGGGAGCGTGCCAAAGTCAGGCCTCCCTTACCCCAGTCTCGTGACGAGATCAATCTAGAAGATCAGTGGACAAAGACACTGACAGGAGCAAACTTCCTGCTTTTCGATGACGGGAGCATCAACCGAATCCTTGGTTTCAGCACGAATGATCTCATTATCTCGCTATGCGAAGCATCGACTGTTTTCATGGACGGCACGTTCAGAGTTGTACCGACCATATTCAGGCAACTAAACACTATCCATGGCTTCTTCCGGGGTCAAATGGTTCCTTTCGCGAACTTTCTCCTTCCGGAAAAACTCGAATAAACCTACATCAGGATGTTCAAGCTATGTGAGAACTTTGCGATCACTATTGGGAGGAATTTCGAACCACCCTCATTCCAGTTGGACTACGAAATTTCCACGCTTAGAGCGATCCGAGAGTCTTTTCCGCATTCAGAGATGAAAGGGTGTTTGTTCCATTCTGACCTGTGCCTGTGGCGCAAAGTTCAGGAATCGAGACTTGTCACCTTCTACAGAGAGGCTGAAGTAAAGCGGTTCATACGGTCGACAGCCGCGTCAGCCTTAGTGCCGCTGAATCGCATCGAGGACGGTTCGTTGGAGATTAATGCCGACGCTCCTTCATCCGAGCACCTCGCGCACGCGAAGCTCGAAGATTTCAAACTCTATTCCATAAACACGTGGATGAAACATGAGAGGTCTTCCCACGCCAAACATGGAACCACCACCACAACTTCGGCGCACGCACAACAAACCAGCTCGAAGGATGGCATCAGGCTCTGAATAGAATCATCAAGAAGAGCCACGTCAATGTCCTCGAGATGATCAAACATCTTCAGGGACAGGAGGAGGAATTCAGGCTGGATATGATGCGATTAGGAATGGGATAACACCGCTGACCGAGCAATATCGTGTGCTGAACGATAGGCTTATGAGACTGACAATGGAATTCGAGTCGGAAGAGATATGTCTCATCGACTACACAAAGTTGCACATGACCTCCCGCAGTTGTAGGGAGAAACTTTTAAAGAGGACTTGTGACTAGGTACTTGTACGAGTAAGGTTTCTCGTTCGTCGGAACCTTCCGCAATCGTGACGATAAAATTAATGGAAAGACTAGCCGAAGAGGAAATTGAGAACAGAAGACTCTCGTATCCTCCGAAACCTCTTGCGATTATGGACATGAATTCGAGAAGAGGAAAAAATTCCGAAGGAAATTATTCTTGTTTCCTTTTGGAACGTGTGATTGGGGCTTCCACCAGAATGAATTTTCGGCGTACTGTATTGGGTTTTTGCGTGGAAGTTTCGGCGTATTGGGTATGGACCCGCCTAACGTGTAGCCATAAATCGGATAATCACGCGGAAGCCTGATCAACTCAAGCCCGGAAAAAAATGGACTCCTCGTCTGTAATTTCAGTTATCATCATTGGCTTCGCTCCCATCCCGTTGTCCAGAAATTTGGTATGATGCGATAAATTTTAAGTCGACGAAGTCATTCCGTCGGCCGAGTCGAGATTCAGTCGAATCCGACCCGTCGACATCGGAAAAAAAATCGAGAAGCCAAGCCTTCGATTAAGTGTGAACTTTTAACCCCTTCACGCTGGGCTTCGTTCTGGTATACAGGAGAACCGACCAATATCGTTTGGCGGAGTGACTTCCGTGAAAGGTACCTACTGAAGAGAAGCTGAAGATCAAGCCCCCGGTAAGAGCCGGTATCGACATGGACTATCATCTCCGAGCTTTCAGGCCGGGAATGATTCCGAGGAGACGATTAATTTCACTTTTTCCGCGTCGACGACACCCTTCAAACCCATGGAAAAAAAGTTCCACGGCCGATCATGCCAACCCGACTCGAATATGTCCTGAACCACTCGTGGAGATCCGAGGCTGAGGCGTCCGCTTTCGACTGAACTAAAGAAACACTGCCGGCTGGGAGCTATCGGGCTAATAGTTGGATTCTAGACCGGGAGGTCAATTGCGAGAAATCGCTTCAATAAACTCGACCGCCGTCGGGCGGAGGAGCTTCTCATGTATCCACTTCGAAAGGAGCTCCATAAACTCTTGTCCCGTCAAATTCTCGATCCTCAGTTGGAATAGTATTGCCGCAGCACGAGACGACGTACTTCCGTGGCACGCCTGCTCTTCGGTACAGCCCTGTTCGCGTCGATTGCGATCTTGTGGGGGGTCAAAGCTTTTATTTCACAGTAGGGGTGTTTGTCGGTTTCTTTCTCTGTCTGGTCGATAATTCCCATGTCCATTTGTCTGGCTGTCAAACAGATTTCCGTGAATTTTAATACATGCTCCTCGACAAGTGGAGATATTGCACACTGCAGTGCTATGTTTGTAAATTATTATTGTTTCTGTTTTTATTGTCGTCTTATTATTGGATTTGCTCGCTCCGGGGAATGTCCGCGAACGCACAGCGAGGGAGGGAGAGCGCTTGATTTGTTGGAAGAAGCGGAGAATCCAAGGAATTCCCCTCCTCTTCGCCCGTAAGCTGGAAATCGGCAGGCATATTCTCCGGAAGTTAAGACTTTTAACAAATTCCAAGCTTATTGTTCGACCTTCTGATGGTATGCAGAATCAGTCATCGAGCAACGATCTTGACGGATAACGACGCGAGACAGCGAGAGATCCGTGGTGACCAGTTCGCGGAAACAAAGTTACGTGGCTTGTGCTGCAGAAGAGGAGATAAGGTATCTTCTGCTCTGTCTCTCTCTGTATTCGTTATCGGCTCGGTGGGATTCCGACCGGAAATATCAGGCGTCTTATCGTACTACACTATCTGGTTCCTCCGAATCGTCCGAGAAGTTGTATAAAATTCTGTCAATAAGCGGTGGTTCAGAGCAGATGTCATATGATGTCTGCTGCTGCTGCCTGCGGAATCGTGCCTGCCGGGATTTTTCTGCTTCTGATGACATGGGTGTCGAGGTGACTGGATAAATGAACCTGGAATCGATTGATAGAGATTTTGATTGGATCAAGACCGACGTGAAGGCTGCCTGGAACGAGTCCAGGTGATTAGTAAGTGAAAGTTGCGAGAAATCTCCCCTCAGGATCAAGAACTTTCGCGCAGCATGAAACTCAATGAGAATCATCACGTCTCGAATCGACGAGATCTGAACATGATGTTGTTATTCAGTCAGATTAGAATCTCCCACCTTCCTGTCACTCATTCCGTCTCGAGAATTTCCTTGTGCTCGTCTTTCGAGCATGTCGGAGAATGAATCTTCAGAAGTGAAAGAGATTCGGGAAAGATAGCTTTCCTGGCGGAACCGATCGGAGCCCGAGCGAGTCGCCCCAGAGCTGGTATCTTATCGTACTCCATGGGATGACTGATCCGATTGAGAGCCAGGAAGGCAATGCGAAGATCAAGAGAATGGCTTCGGGTTCAGGTCATCAAATTATAGGGGCGAACCATCGTACCCGGACTTCGTATGGACCAGGGATCGTGTAGATGCGACTGACAGAGTGATAACATTTCGAAGCCTGCCGCCGAATCCGGGGATAGTCGGTGTCTCCGATGACGATGAGTTGCATCCGAAATCTGAATTTTCGGAAGTTGGAAAGGTTATATTTTTCTGTTTTGTTTCCTGCATGGAGTGTTCTGCGCAAGATGAAGGACGTCATTTTGTTCACCCGCTAGAACATACATACGTAATCAAGCAAGTCCGAATCATGTCTAGCCGTCTTCAAGCTGCTCTTCACAGAGAACGCTCTCACAGAAAAAGAACGCGCTTCTTGAATGCCGACCGACCTTGCAATTAATATATGCTGTTTGCGTTCGCCCGCTTCTGCCCGTGAATACGTCCATGTAATACTAATAGATGAGCTGTAGATTGTGCAACGGAGCGGAATTTGATCGGAAGTTTAATTGTCTCATTAGAAATCGACAGGCTCAAGCTTCGGTAATCGAACAGTTGTAGAGCGCGACCGCTCCGAGGAAACTCGTAACGGAGCATGGACGAGGATTCCGCGGGGTGAATCGCTGTGACCAGGAGGCTCATATTTCCGACAGGAGAAGAGCCCCGGACTCCCCGCTAATGTGGGATCCTTCGTTCTTCATCAATCCCGGCTCACAAGGTAGCTCCTCCCTTAGAGGCGCCAAATTACAAGTCCCTCATCTGATGAGTCCCTTATATGCGGGACAGCGGGGTTGGCGATATTCGAAATCGTCCAGGAAAACGGATTCGTCCTCTTCGCCTCCTCTTCCCAGAATGCTCAGTCAGTGGGATTCCATATCAGTACGAGATCGATCATGAAAGTCAATAAGCGTCGAGAGTGAGCACGCACAGAGTTAGGTTGCTATATGTTGATTTACCTGAATTTCCATTGACCCTCCATAGGGAGCCGGATCCTTGAAACCCTCGACCAGCGTGAAGCTCTACTCATACCGGAAGAGTTGATGTGATCTAACCAACTTCTCAAGAATGGAAGGGTGATACATCAGAACGCGTTATCGTCGAGTATATGCCCGTACGCGACGGATGTTCGCAACTCCCGCAGAGAGGAAGATTTCCTGGCCTCCGGGGAGAATATCCTCTCTCGGGTTGCCATGGTTCGCGCGGTGAGTCCGTTTGCCGATCCGCATTCCGCATCTGGATTTGAGTACCTTAATCTTGGATACTTCGGGACTATCAAGAGCATGTTATTAAGCTCAAAGATACCTTGATCGATTCTCATCTGACGGAATCGTTCGCGGTGGGCATCTCGAGGTGGGTTTCTCTAGGCGCTTAATTCTCCGGGAGTGAAGCTTCTATGGTGACCTTCTATGCATCTCTGCTCCCCATGTTGGTCCGGCTGCCGATCTCGGGGCATATCTGCCGCTCTCTCATTGTGTCGTCGAAGAGTAGCTGAATCCAGAATTGAAGCGCTAAGTGTTTCGGAGGACTTCAAGATCCCTGTTGGTTCCTCGAGCATGCGAGCACAAGAAAGTTCGCGGGCGGTCGAGTTAGAGGTGACGATCGGAGCGTGAAGTCCGGAAATCCTAGTAGGAGCTCGAGGATCCGTCGGGAAGCCCGGCGTACTTCAGGAGGTATACTTATAGTGACTATCTTGGGCACGTTCGAAACCCGTTTAGTTCGAGTGAGTGGACCCGGCTATCATGAGTCAGCCCCGTTACACCGCAGCCTTGAGGTGGAGGCGAGCGGCTCACGCTGTCGAACCTTGCGACGGTGCGTCAGAGATCCTTCGAATCTCTGAAAGATCTGCGTTGACGGTAACCGTGATCGGGTACCGAGTTCTCGCCGTCGAGGTCCGTCCCTCGTCCTCCGAAGACTCCGACGAAAGTCTCTGAGCTTCAAACAGGATTCGCTCTCTGATTCCACCGGCTCGCTGTCGTAACGGATAATTCCCGTCAAGTTTCCCTTTTTCGACTTCGGTTATCGATCCGGAGTGTTCTGAGAAACCCTTTCAGATACGCTCCGCGGAAAATCTGAAGTGCCGCCAGAGAAGCGTATCTCATGGGAAAATATTTCATTTCTGAGCTGATGACATCACTTTTCTCTTTCATTTCAGATATGATGCGCGTGCTGTTGATTCTTCCCGAGAACGCCGATTCGCAATGATGGCGAGCTCGCGACTGATTTTTGCATCGGTTCTGATGTTATTGATCGTCACAGTAGATGAGGTTTCCCCGGACAGTCAGTCAACACCGATAGGGGTTAATAACCCGTCGCATGGTTTCAGTTCGCAAACAGTCGCAACTCCGGCGTTCTGTGCTGAAGTCGCCAAGCAAAAAGGCTGCTTCAGCCTGCCAGGAGAATGTCTCGATTGTATGTTCGATTGTAATTGCGTCTATGGAAGCAACGTCACCGTCGATTGCATGGCTAAGAAGAATATCGAGTGTCGGAGCAACGAGAACATCATGAAGAGACAGATGATCTGTCGCTATTGCTATCAAAGTCCACCTGAGGAACACGTCTGTGAGCACAACAGCACCTGCCAGGTAAAAAAAAAAGGCGAGATCGAAATAAGCCCTCCCTTCCTTCCGTGGCAGCGTCGATTCGAACGGTGGAATGTCGTCCCCAGAAGACCAACTCTTTCTGTTGCAGGTGACTCATGCACCGAGGCGGTATTACACGGCATCATGCACCGTGCGCCCGGAGGTGATTTGCTTGGGGCGACGGGTCTTCCTTAAAAGACGCCTCTGTAATTGGACTCGAGGATACAGTTGGATCACAGCTCTCTTCCTGAGCGTTGTTTTGGGCGGTTTCGGAGTGGATCGCTTCTACCTAGGGATGTGGCAGGAAGGGATCGGAAAACTTTTCTCGTTCGGAGGTCTCGGGGTCTGGACCCTGGTCGACGTGGTGCTCATCGCCACGGGATATCTTGGACCCGCGGACGGATCTCTGTACATTCCATGAGCTCTGTGATATGGGGGGCACTATAGTTAGCAAGGCACTGGGTGCAAGGATTGATGGAACTTCTCTTGCGGGGATCCCCGCTCGTCAGGAGACATCTGTCGCTGATCAATCGCATTACACGTGACTCTATACCGAAGACTAATAGGCAGGAATAGGCTGACAATTGATTGATGACCTTCGCACAACGACTACGAAGCTAAAGTAAAGAAGATATTCATCGTGGAGACAGGACTCGGGGTGTTCTTTTATTGAACGAGTCGCTCTCGGCTCGAATTCGTTTGAATCGCTTTCAGAGTCCATTCGGGTCTCCCAAGGCGAGAAGAACTCCAAACGAACGAGTAGTTTTAAAAGATACAATTGGGCGACTCTTCCCATCGCCTTCGTCGTCATCCTCACAAAAGTACCTCGGCTGACGGCGAGCGGTTGGGGGTTTCAGGAAAAGGGTAAAATATATACATCAGGTACAGCGAGGAAGTCGCATCTCGGCGCTACGATTTTCGGCCTTATCGCTCATTGAACGATGATGGGACCGGACATGGCAGGCACTAGCAAAGTTCCGGGAGCCATGGACTGCAGGGGATGCTCCAGCTAGAATCAGGACTCGAGAACGATTGCTATCACAATGGTTTCGACTGCATCGGAACCGCAAGATCGAAACGAGACCCTTGTCCCAAAAAGTCCAGGGTCCAATTGAAGGTCTCAACATCTAGAATTAGGTCGTCCCCGCGGATTCATCACCTCGATGTGATAATCGACACAAAGACTCGGACTCCCTACCACTCGTCCACCGGAAAAATAATCTCCGCTCGTCGGGGTTTCCGTACTGAGCTACGTCCGTTCTTCTTCGAATTTCTAAGAGGTGTGGATGACTGCGGCTCCGAGCTGGGGAGAGATGAGATCGGCGACGAACGATTTCCGAGAATCGGTTGAGTTTTTTTCGGTGTTCCCCAGTGTGCCATTTGATCGGTTGGGAACTCAGCCATGTTATTGATCCATCGGTAGACGCACGGATATTCGGATTGCTCGATAGTTTCTACGACGGACTCCATGGCTATCCAGACTTGATAGTCGGTCCGACTCGGCAGGGGTCTGCAAATCGATGGATTAGGAAAAAAATTTCTTCCGCCAAGGGGATCATGTTGGAGAAGAGATGCTAATCTCGATCACTTAACTGCTTCTCGACGGTCATGAATATTACCAATCAGCATCATGCATTGTTCAACCTACCCATGTATGAAGCAAATTTTCAAAATGTCGACACTCGAAACCTTCGATCTCCTCCGATGGCTCGTTTTCTCCCGATTATTCCCATTCTGAGCACCCGTTTGCACGAAGCATCTACATTCATGTGAATCCTCCCTCTCCAATAGGTTAAGAATTTTCTGTATGACACAGGACTTCATCGAATTCAACGGATACTCCTCGAGACTTGTCAACTCCGCTTTGACGAATTTCTTCTCGTGCTCAGACATGAAATCGAGAACGTAAGAGGCCACCGATCTCGCTACTTCACAATGATCAGCATCGGCAACATTCTTCTCGAGAGCCTGACAGCCAGTATTGTCGTCTCCAACACCATCTGTAATCGAGTCCTCGATTAGCTGCGTATTCTCAACTCCCATACCCTTACCTGTTTTACTTCACTCCTCTCTAATATTTTTTTCCATCATTCACGCCTCAATGATTCCCTATTCATCATTTTTTCTCATTCATCATATTAGGGGTTTTCCCGTCCTGGAGCCGTACGCGGCTTGGACTCACCGACCAAATCTTTGAGCGCTTTTATGCAATCTGATGTTGCATGATCTTTGGTTATGCGTTTGTTGTTTGCGTTCTCGTTTTCCGCGCCCAAATCTGGTTGTGAATCCTGGAGCGACTCGATGAAATAGGCTTCGAAGTCTAAGAGACCATTTCTCGTAGTGAGATCGCCCCAAGAATTGAGGAAGGGCCAGAACTCGTTCCAGCGTAAGTCCTGGTCTTTGGCGATTTTTCGTACAACGCTCTCGAAACCTTTCTCCGCGTCGCGTCTCCGAACGTCCGCGAAAGTTGCTCGCTTACTGTGAACGTCATTCACTATGCGAGCGGCCTGAAAGGAGGATTATTTTCAGACTAGCCACCGAAGCATTCTGTGGACGATGATCGAAGGCTGCCCTTCGATTCTTCTGCCAAAGCTCATGAACTCACTCGCTCCCTCGTGACTGGACCGACGACCGCAACGATACGAAACTGAGACTTTTCGCCTGCGTTCCAAGTTTTGGCTTGAGCTGTAGGTAGAGGGGGATTCCGGAAGTCGAAGTCCCTAGTTATGAGGTTCATGGTGGCGGCGAAGGCCGGTGGTTCGGAGCACATCTCGTCACGAACAATCGGTAGGATAACCTGGTGATCTGAGAAAAGATCGAAGCAGTGAGCCAATCTGCCCTGTCTTCTCCTGTCAAGCATACATTGGCGGTACCCGAAAATTTGTCTCCCGATGCTTATGCCCATGCCCTACCGAGGAACATGTTCCGATGAATCACTACCCTCATCGAAGTTCTCGAACTTGCCATTAAAAAGATCGATGATCGCTTTCTCCACATCGAGAGAGGATGCCTCCGTCATACGAGTGCCTGCCAATTCTACTGCCGTGAAGCCTTCGCCGTTTGGAGCGTCTCTGACGCATTCTTCTTGGTTGAGGAGGATTTCGACGCACTGGAGGGAACCCATGGCGCTGGCGAAGTGCAGGGGACGATCGCCTTGGAGATGTGCGAAAATGCCGAAGAGCGCTTGCATAGTCATCGTCGGGTATTCCCGCACCATGTGAGATGAATGAATATCTTGCCTACCTCGTTTGGTTTTGTCCGGGATATTAAGGTACATGTTGATGACATATTTGATTCTTTGATTGATTGTGTCCTCGTCATCATCTGGATACAACATCCGGAAAAGACTCGTGTTCCGGAGGAGATCTATCAGCAATTGAAGAATCACCGGCTTATTGCTACGAGCCGCAACATGAAACGCATTGTACCTGGGGAAGGGAAATGTAACGAGTTTGGATTTGAAAGTGATATCACATCTTCCGCTTCTCGGAGCGTGACCATTCCTCCAGCATAGACCAGCGGTCGTCGTAACTCACCTACACCCTTCGTGGAGAATGGTAGGGTTGTCGCCGCCTCCAATCAGATATCGAGGATTCGACCACACCATTTCCAATAGAAGCGTCTTGTCGTTATCCATGATGCACTTGCGGAATCGCACGTAATCTTGTGATCGCGGACTCCTTTATTTTGGGAATAGCGACAAATTCATTCGTATGGTGCGCAAGATTCATTTCGGAAGGCACGCGGTCCCTTCTCGTACCGAAAACTTGATCCCAGTCGCTCCACATCATTTGCGATATCTTTGCGGACTTCTCACCTGAACGGACTTCTTTCCCCAGAGGCTTTCCGCTCGTCCTTGGCGCTGACAATCGCATTGGAGCACGGAGTTAGAACGTTCGAGTCTTCGCAGAATTGAAGCGCAGCCTGCCGGCTCGGAAATTTTTTCCAACGAGCGGCCTCCTTGAAACGCTTACAGAACTGTATCGTGGACGCGAGATCCGGGAAGATGAATGGAGGTTCTGTAGAAGGCATGATGTCGAATGAAAATCACATGGAACGGATATTCAGACCAATGGCGTAGACTCTCAGCTCCGTCGACCCTCATCCTCGAAGCCTGGAGCGGGTATTCGGGGCAATAGCCCGTTAAAAGTCAGGGCTTTCGTCACACTTTTGGGACTCCAGACACTTCCAAGATATAATCGGTATCAGCTTGTGAAAATCACGTCCCACGTGAGGGTTCAGTCTCGAATTCGGAATCGTCTCCTACAGTATCCCAATCTGCGGGGCGTACCGCTCAAATCAGATACCACCCAGGCGAGACTACTCGAATCTCGGATAATGAAGTCGAACTATTTCAACAGAAGATCCCTTGAAGAACTCGAAGAGAAAACTTTCGTGCTGTGCCGCGCTAACTCACTATCTTGTTCTGACAATGTGACTGATGCTGGCAGGACAACAGCGTAGAAGTCTCGTGATTCTCCCGATACTTTGATGTCCGTCACTTTCGGAGGAGTTTGGAACACGTCTGTCAGAGATCCTCCGATCCGAGATCGACGCGGCGATGTCATCCTCGCTATTAGTTCCTCAGCTCGCTAGTTACCACTTCCAAACTCGACGGAATTTTCTGCCGTCAGACTCGACCATTTAGGTCATCCATCGGTATCAAACTCTGATCTCAAGACAAATCGTCGTTGTTCTTCGAGTTTATTTTCCGCGAGTGTTCTCAACGGACAGTGTGCAGCGAAATGTGCTTCCACTGTTTATCATGATGACGATGATGATGATTTTGAGAGAGAGTTTGCTGTACGTCATCTGGCCGAAGAGCGACATGTTGTTGACTCGAGATTCGAACGTTCTGTACGTACGGTCAGCGCGTCGCACGATGGAGCGTATGCCGAGTTCGGGGGATACCCGTGCAAAAGACTCGGAGGAAAAGTTCGAGAAAAGCGAAATCCGTTGAGGAAAGAGTGAAGACGATGATGCAGATGATCTATGCTTGATGGTACGACGCGATAAAGCAGTCCGTCATACCTCCCGTGCTCAATATCGCCCTCCATTGGTTAATGAGCGCCTTCTCCACTAGTCAGCGCTTCCGTGTAGTAGGATTTATTCGGCCGGAGAAATCGAACCGGTTTTCGAGCTCTGTGCCGAAGAGGCTCTCGCCGTCGACCATCGGGTAAGAAATCTCATACCTCTCATTCCCTCCCTCATATCCTACTATGATTGGAGATCGACATTGTTCGATGAATACTTGCTCTCCACGGGGAGTTTTTAAGAATCCCACTTCCATCTATTCCCCAGTTCCAAGCGTTCATCAACTACATGCGGTCCTACTGGCTCGACGTTATCGGTGCGGACAATCTGTCCCTTCACAGGGCACCCTGCCGAACGAACAACTCCGTAGAGTCCAACAACGCCTACCTTCTTCGGAAGGTTGGAGCGCATGGAGCGGTTCGGAACCTCATGGGTTAGTGTCTTCGAGAAACGATTCCGAGAGAGATATATGAACCCAAGAGAGGAATCGACCGCCATACTCTTCCTTGACACACAATTTCTCTTCCAGCCTGTCTCTGTGAGATTTTCCAGGACACGGCGATCGACAGACTGATCGTAGATCGCGGAGAGCCCACCATCCGATCCCATCCGAAAAGGCCACCAAGGTCAACGAGTCGGTAATCCAAATTTCTTGGGACCGGCTCGATGCGGGTCTGATCAACCCGAAGATGTTCATCGACCGCGTGAAATACCGCGCAGGAGGAGGTAAGCTCGGAGAATGCACTTGAATTTCCGTTCTTGACCTCAGCATCATCTTGACTAACGTGATGTGACTAATTTTTTCCCCGACTTTCCAGTCGCGACACGCCACGGTCTTTCCGTCGAGGACGACGCGGGCGATTTCTTCCCTTCTTGGCATGAGTGGACAGAAGATCAGGCAATCGAATACGACCACACGGTGAACCTGCCTCATGCCGGCGACCATAATTATAATCATGAAGAAGTCTGGAAGCATCCACAGTCGAGCATACCGAATTACAATGTTGGCCAATTGCGAGAACCATAAATAAATGAATTTGCACCTATCGTTTCTCAGAAACTTGTTTTCATACTACATGTACAGGTATCCTCATCCCAGATCACTTGTCATGAGGATCGCGATAGAGCTCATCGCCCCGCCATACCGAATCGACAGCGAGTCGAAATACCTACATGTTGCCCGACATGGAAGCACAGCGACCCGCCGCGCTCGCGGTCTTGCGACGCTTCTTGCAGGTGCAAACACACTGGCATTTTTCGCAGCCGTTTCCACCTCTGCAGCAGTTTTCACAAGGGCTGGAACACTGGGCTGGAGCAAAAAAAATCTTCTCCCACCATACGTCTTCTTTATCTTTTCGACCGAGATGGGTGCCTCTCCCATTGTCTGTCTGACACGGAATGGTATGTCTCAGGAAACGCTGGCATCCCGTGGAATTCTTTTGCTTCGCCGGGAGACAGGACGAATATGGCCAGACTCGCAGTCGACTGTCTCGATGACCGGGTGATCATACAGGCATTTCGTTTTTGCTCCGCACCGTGCTAATGGGGATCAGTTTCTTGAGATCGGTAGAGATTGAGGATCTTCATGGAGCGGTGATTTCATTCCATCATCCTTTCTATCGGTATTCATCAGTTATCACGTTATCAGACTGCCTCCACTACAGCAGACCGCCCGAAGTCATGAAGAGGAAACACGAATGCGTTCATCCGTCGTTGAGCTGCGACAGAAATCTCCCGCGGTTGTTACGGTTGTGCCGTGTTGTTCTACTCTCGTATTTGTTCCGTTCGAGTGTCGGTCCTTGGTAATTGTTCTAGGCCGTGATTTCCCTCAACGCTTCCACCATGAGAATAACTATCACCACAGTGACTGGCGACGTTTTCGTGCTTGACGTGTCGGCTGATATTGAGCTCGAGAATCTGAAGGTATTTATTATGGAGGCCGGTCCTTCCTCGTTCATGAACACCTGCGAAAATATGCATCAAAACAATGACAGGCGATCGGCGATAGGTTTCGGAATTCCACGATTCGGAAGATTTCACTCCTTCACTGCAGAGTCGGAGATATGGACCTACTTGTCGCTTAAGCGGCCTCTCTGAGCTTTCGAGGCTGGTGGTAATGACTGCTCGGCTACGCACCCTCTGCACGCGACTCTCAATGCGAGCTCCGACTCGGAGACTTAATTTCTCTCGGGACCTACGCTGTCGAACATAACATACAGCGGCCTCTAGCTCACTGATCTTTTTTTCTGCGAGAAACGCGATGGATGGGTCCCTCGCTCAGCCCAATCTGACGGTGGCGGCCGAATCGATGGACGGGGCTTCTGAATATACTTCTGACGCCGTGAAAGGCACTGAAATGGTATTACTCCGCGGGTTTTTCTCCGGTGTGTTCCCGACGAGTCATCCGACCGCCACCGATGAGGCGGATACTCGTATGGATGATTTTCTGTGCTTCCGATTTCCGAGCCGGAAATCGCTCATACGCCAGCCCTAGCATGCTCATTCATTTCTTCGTCTCAAGGGAGACAATTGTGGGAGTTTTCAACGGCAAAGTTCTCTCTACCCACAAGGGTCGATGGCCCGAGTCTAATCTTCATCATAGTGCGGGAGGTTCGTCCAAGACCGAGCGCTTCCCTAGAGCGACGATCCGAACTTCGATAAGTCGGCTTATCGACGGGATACATTCGATGTCTCCGAAGCTTTTCAATAATTTACCTCGGCCGGATCCCGGAAGTATCGAGATACGTAGTAGCTTGCGTGATGGAAATCCGAAGAGCATCTGTGTAGGGACTTCCTCTTCCTGTGGGCAGATCTATCATTACCTCGCAGGAACAATGCAGATTCCGTTCACGAAAATGAAGACGCCCCGACCTTCCGACGATACCGACTGTGCAAAATATCCATGAGGATTGAACATGGACGGAAAACACTCCCCTCGATCCCAGAAGGGTTGAGTGCACCGAAAATCCCGCTGAGCACTCATGCACGAATTTTCCGGATTTGAACTCGAGCGAAATCAAAAACTCAATCCAATTCATTTCCAGGCCCTCGCGGCATTCGAGGTTGGAATTCCTGCAGCAGAGATGATCGTCATCCATGAAATGCGACCCTTAACCGAAGATAAAAGACCGATATCTCAGCTCGGTCTCAAAGACGGCGACATGGTGCTGGTTCAAAAGTCCCCTCCCAGGGCCCAACGTACCCCCCAGGGATCACTACGTAAGTTTTCGCCGACGGTACGGACTGTCCCCGATTTGAGCCAGAGATATCTCCATTTGCATATGGGTATGGAGAGCCCCTCGGAAATCGCCATGAGATGATATCGCGCGTATTACGGCGCAATATGTTTTTATTGTATTTCAACCTTGAGCCACGAACAACTCCCTTCTGGCTGTCCTGCTGTTGACACACCGCAGAGTGCTACAAGTATTACGGCATTGCTCGATAGGGACATCTTCGAAGTTTTGTTGTTGGGCTAGACGCCCAGCGGGGAGCCCGGCCGTGTCTCCCGAGTTGGTCGAGCTCCGTTGGATTAGATAATATTACGTAATCTAACCAGTCTGAAGACTGCAGGAGATCAGTCAGTTGCCAGCGAAACGCACATGCGCTCAAGAGAGGAGACCAGATCAACTTGAACCCTCTTACCCTATTAGTCCCCCGAGCTTCAAAACATCTCATCCTAACTCAACTAACACCCCTTGTGAGCCTCTTCATCTCCCGCGGGAACAACGTCCTCGCTCGGATGGTCAGTTTCTGATCGCTGCCGTACTGCTCGTTTGAACTTCTTCGGTTTCGGTTTGCCATCGGAGTTCGCGTCGCTGCAGCCTTGGTCGGAGATCCGATCCGCCGCAGACTTCGACGCATTCTCGTCGCTTTTCATCTCAACGTCATCGCCGTCTCCGTCGTCCATGTCTTGCAGATGGCTGAGAGCGATCTTCCGATTGTCGTTCGCTCGCTTTTCGACCAGTGTTCGAACCTTCGTTCCGAAGTTCGTACGATTCGTGTCGGCGCCAGCCTCGTTATTTTGCTGCTGCATATCGGAGGCTCCAGGCTGGTCGCTCAAGAGGAATTTCGGTCGAAGGCGCTCATTGGTCTTCTTTTTGCCGTGAAACATGACTTTGGCCCGGAGATCCAGCAGCTGAGCGTCTTCATCCCAGAGAGCTTGCCCCTGAGATTTTCGCTCCTGTTGTCTCAGATATGCGAGCGCAGCTGCTGTATTGGCACCGTCCGACATGTGTGAGTCATCGACCGAAGCTAAGCTGTATTTCGTCCACTTCTCCGGGTGGAGTCTGAAATTCCGAATGAATATTCAGTATCCATGAATGAGGATGCAGAAAAGTTGTCCTGCAGCCTCGAGCGAAGAGTACTCACTTGTGATCCGGGACCCTGGGCCGCGAGGGCGGCGGGATTTTCGGACGCCTGAATTCGAACGGAGGCTTCCGACGAAGACATGCTGATGCACTCGGCGAAAAGCTGTTTCTTCGATCGAGCTGGAGCTTACTCCTCGGAATTGCAAACTCCTCGTCTCTGAGAACCGCCGGATCCTCTTTTTGCACATTCGAAGCCCCCTATGTCGGCCGGAGGATAGAAGGTTTTTGTGAACAGGTGTCAGTTGCGCTCGGCAGCGACTGAATCAGCAAGAATCTAGAATCCTTTGGACAATCGTTTTTCCTCTCTAACTTTGTGACGGATCCTTCCGCGCGACAACTTACGTGGTCTCTTGACTGAAGGGACTCATTCCGTTTCTTTTCAATATCTCCCAACTGCGCAAAAATCGACGCAATCTTCGCTGAGAATTCCGGTGGCGCGTCGAGTTTGAAATCGGGTGTCTTCGAATTCATTCTCTTTGGGGACTTGTTCGGGTCGGTGTGACGATCAAGATTCCTTCTTCGAGAGGAAGCGTCAAGACTTGACAATCGGTCTCGTATCGAATGTCTTACGTGATTCTCAGAGATGCCATTGAGGGTACAGACTCCGTCTGGCAGTGACCTACAGCTTCTTGTTCTCTAGTATCTCCAGAGTTTTCGGTGAGAGACCAGAGTATCCTGTCGAACGCTATCGACTCGATTCTGAGACGGATTTAATGAGTGTCGTCGCACTTGAGCACAAACGTTGTGTTCCGAACGGGGACCGCTGCCGCTGCTGTGATTATTATTTCGAGGAGTGGAGAGGAAGGGTGTCTCGAGCAGACGAACTATGGGAGAGGAAAACAAATCGCGGGGGCCCCGACATGGTCTGGCGCGAATGCGAGGAAGTCCCGAAGAATATATCATGAATAATGATTTCAGAGATATTATAATTCAAAACATCGAGTCTTGTACTCTAGAGATGCTTGATGAAGGTCTTCGTCCCCGGGGGTAGCATGTCGCAGTAGATGACCAGGATGCTGCTGGTGTTGCATGCCGTGTTCTGGATTCCAGATCACATCGACGGATGAGACTTTTACTTATATTCTTCTCCGATTGTTCCAGCGGAGAATGATCCAGCTGTCCTAAGGCAAATGCTCCTATCAGACCCAGAGCAGCTCGCATTGGTGAGACAGAAGAACCCTCAGCTAGCAGAGGCCCTGGAACGGAGCCCCGGTAAAGAGATGTCTCGATTAGCAGAATTTCATTCGATTGTCCTTCAATCGGATGACAGGCCGATCGGTCGAAGGGTCGAATCACGCTTCATTGGCTATCTCATCTGATTTCCAGAGGAGTTCGACAAGTATGTGCGAGAGTTCAACCGCGAAAGAGCGGAGAGAGAAATGGCACGGATTCGAATGCTCACTGCGGATCCCTTCAATCCGGAAGCTCAAGCATTGATTGCCGAAGAAATAAGGTTTGTGAGCTTCCGACGCGAATCAATCCAGCGGGTTACGGTTCTCGAAACTTCCTCGCCTCTCATCGGTTGTGATTTTCAGACAGAAAAATATCGATTCCAACATGGAGGCTGCGATGGAGCATCATCCGGAGGCTTTCGGAACGGTCGTGATGCTTTACATAAATTGCAAGGTCCGTACAATCTTGAGGTTCATCACTAGAATCGACCAATCTCCGCGACGCACATCGGGGAATTCTGGTTCCTTTGTTCGCACGTATTTCAAGCGACTGGAAGTCATGAGCTCCGCATCGTGAATTCCTCTGTCCCTTGTAGGTGAACGGGCATCCTGTGAAAGCTTTCGTAGATTCAGGAGCACAAAGAACAATCATGAGCTCAGCTTGCGCCGAACGCTGCGGAATAATGCGTCTAGTCGATCCACGCTGGGCTGGCATTGCAAAGGTGGAGTATTCCGAGATCTATTCAGTAGGCATCGGCGGTTCCCTCGAGAAGCCGAGTCTATTCGACTTTAGACAACTTTGGCATAGAAATCACTCGGAGTAACGCAGCCACCTAGCGAGGTTGCAAGTTTCTCCAAAGAATCTGAATCCTCCACCAGAGAACCTAATATCCAAGGCGCTGTACATATGATATCCATCCCATGCGTCGCCGAGACTGTCCTGTCTGACGCGGAGCTCTTCGCATATGATCGCTTATTAAAACTCTTCTTCTCGTTCACCAGGGTGTAGGAACGCAAAAAATTCTGGGACGCATCCATTTGGTCCAAATCGAAATAGAGAAGGTGAGTGAGGATCAATAGTTTGAGTGAACGGAAGATTGTTCGCCAGAGAGCGAGAGTTTCTGAAGATCTCGAACGATCCTAAAGGAGCTCGAATTCCCCGTGTCACAGGATTTCCTAACGACCAGCTTCTCTGTACTGGAAGCTCAGCCGATGGACATGCTCTTGGGCCTGGATCTCTTGAGACGCTTCGAGGTTCGTAGTCGCACCCATGACCCCGATTCGAGCGGGCTGAATCAGCTCGGCATTCATGAACCTATCTTTCCGGAGTTTAGAGTGAATTGTCATGTTCGCAGTGCGTCTTAGACCTGAAACAGAATGAGCTGATCATCGGTACAACCGGAACCCGAACCCAGTTTTTGCCAGAGTCTGAGCTCCCCGCGCACGCTCGCTTGGACGCCGTGATGGATGAAGAGAGCGCGATGAAAGCAGCGCTCGAGAACTCGAAGATGGATACCAGTAAGTCGAGTTTATGTACGCGGGGTGGTTTCTGGGTGTTGTCGGCGTCCAGAGGACCTCTACGTGTCACTGGAAGTTGAGCCCCCTTCCATCTTTGGGAACGCGAGATTGACAGCTCGCCTCAGAATTCGGAATAGCAGTTCCTTTTCCAGGCGCGGGCCCTTCAACTTCTCAAGGGAGCTCCAGTGGTAGCGTTCTCAGTAGCTTGCGATACGGCACCGAGACGCAAGTCAAGGAAATAATGGCCTTGGGATTCAAACGCGAGGACGCTGTTCGAGAGTTGGAGGGAGCCAAGGGCGATAAAAACGTAGCCATCGGTGCCCTATTCGCGAAATCGTTCACTGTTCCAAAATAGGAGTCTCGACTTCCGAACTCTCTACGTCGCACAATCGGAGAGAAAGAAATTGTGTCATCTGTACAGTTGTCCAGGATTTTCGAGCGGCTCTTTCCGGACTCTCCACCGAAGCGGTGCGCGGAGACGCAGGCTCCGTGCGTATCGGGTCCTTCGTCTGGCTGATCTACTATTTTTGCTTCATTGTGCTCATGACAGTATTCGAATTCGAGAGGGGGATGATTCGGATGAGTTCTTCTATATTCCGGATCTGGGATACGCGCTCTGTCGACCTCCAATCAAAGCATCAGCTTGCGTGAACTTCTTGTGAAATCGTTACCTCATTACTCTTAAGACACAAGGGGGCACTTCGGCCTTACGATTGATGTAATTAATAAAATAACTCTTCGTCTTTGAGAATGACCTCTTCGCCTGAATATTCGACTGGCTATCCATCCCTTCGGAATGAACGGGCGAAACACAAGTGACAGATAACCAGATAACGTCGAGAAAAATGGTGATCTCATTATTGCATCTAAGGACGATCAAAGCGAGAGCTGCCTGAATCTAGGTAATTAATTGGACGCATGACGGACCCCTATCCTCCGCAGAGATTCCGAGAACTTCTGTCACCCGCCGATGAAGGAGGCGGGTCATCATACCTTCAATCACAACGATGACCTTGATGATCGGAGGAAGCTCCGAGATCAAAGTTCTCCTCTTGCTCTTCGTTGATCTACTCCTCCTGTATGGATCCATTGACCTGGAATAAATTCCACGGTGAAAAGGAAAGTTTTCCACCGAAAGCGTCCGATGCTCTGTATGATAAAACACGGCATCGACTCTATGGAATCGAGAGCGTTGTCTCGGACGCAGAGGACCCCCATCGCTTCCCGCGGCCTCCCTCCTCTTCTTTAGATTCGTCTGCGGGGAAAAAGGAGGCAGCAGCGACTGGTCACTGCCGATCTCGAATCTCGATCCGCTCAATCGGAGGATGGGCCGAGTGAATCCAGCTTCTTAATGCTTTGATGACGAAGTTTAGAAATGTATAGAGATTCTTCGCATTTCCTACCTCTTGTCGAGCACAATTAAAAATTATCTCTGCCGGGGCTGCTCGACCTCTGCTCCGATGACAGGTTCGTGAAGCGTATAGATCTCCCCGCTCTCCTCTATCTTCATCCTAGATCGAGTGTACGGCATTTTTACTCACCGCGTAGCTCTACATGCTCTGGCTTCCCGGTGCTGTTGCTCGAGCGTTGAGATATTCAGGAGATTCATAGAGAAATGTTCGGCAGCGTAGACGGACCAGGTCCGTTTTGAGTTATTGCTCAGGCCCGTTGAGATCTGCGAGGTGAGACGTCATGAGATGAAGTTGCGAGTGTTGGCACGACGATCTCGCTCACCAATCGCGATAACTCCCACCATGACTCCAATCGACGGATACCGATTCCCACATAGAGGATGTCGAGTGTCGAGTCCGTACATCTAGGAGCAAATTGAGAGTCTCGCATTCACTTGGTGGAGCTATGCTCTTTTTTTCTGATTTGTGGTCGGACTCGCGTCGGCGGTGGAAGGATGTTGTTCAGCGACGATGTGGTACCGCACACTTTCTCGACGTGCCTACGACGACCGGTCCATGCTCTCTCGCGGAAGTCTCGACAGAACTGAAGATGAAAGCAATGTTTTCGAGTGTCATTAGGTTCTGATATCTCCGTTCGGGAACATGGAACGCCTAAGCACTCGGTGTCCTTGCTCGGCTAGGGTACTGTGAAATGAACTTGGAGACGCACACTTTCAATTTGAGTCCGACCAAGAACGAGTTCAAGTGTCCGTCCGAGAACATTACTTCCTGTGAGCTCGTCTACTTGTTCGGGAGGTGCCAGAAGAAGGGAACACTGGATGAAGCGATTCGAGTTCCGGAGCGTCAGGATCACTTTTGGGGCCACGGCAATATGAGTCAATCGAGGCCGGACAGGAACAGCACCGGGGCAGGTTAGTTCGAACCTCGAGGGATCCACCCATTCGAGTTCGTCATCCGGTGGACGGCATCGACGATACCGTTCGTTCCCATCGGGGTCGACTCGTTTCCCTGATGAGTACCTATCGCCATCGTTCGCAGGTGCGCAAAGGACGCCGGGATCGAGAGGCAATACTCATTCGAATCCTGAGAGTGGTGAGCCGTCCGTCTGACCTATCCGTCGCTTTTCGAAGGAAGAAGTTTATGGCTCATCCAATCATTCTTCTAGCTCGGAGATGCCAACAAGTGGAAGAAGCTCACGACGTTAGCCAAAATCTAGCTTGGAATCCTCCGGTCCATGACGCTCCCGAAGTCCCCGCTCCCGCGGATGACAATTGGCTGATGCCGGAGAATTTCGAAGACCGATTCTTCACTGCGGTGGAACTGATTGGTGATCGAGAGCAATACACACCGGACGAGTATGTCAGGTGAGAGCGATGATCAGACAGGAGCGAGGCGACCCATTCTCCGGCCCCCACGGAACTCCCATCTCGAGGGATTCCGTGAGCGCGTGTTCACGCGACCGATCTCTTCCAGAGAGTGGCTCAGCGATCGGCAGGGCATAACCAACTTCGTCGTGGAGCCGGTCTTGTGGCACATCCACCGTCTGCATCCTCCGGGATTCATTCTGAGCACCCCCGAATTCCCCGAAGAGAAAACTCTAATGCATCTTTTACGAACATTTCGTCATCCCTACTTGGCATATCGAAAACAAACCATTTGCGTCTTCGTTGAAAGCCCCCAGATCGAAACGCTCGTTGAAAAACTCAGAGCGAAGAAAATTCCAGTCGTCGTCCTCACGGAGGACACCCGACAAGAGGTGCAGGGATCGAATTCGGTTTTCCTCGCGACTCATGCTCGGAACGTCGGGAACCTCCCCGTTGATAACGTCGTCAATTACAAGATGTTCCGCACCGCGAGTCAGTACGTGGATCGACTGCGACTGCTGCGACGCAGAGGTGAGCGAGATCTGCGAGCGAATTCAGTGTCCTTTCTTCAGAGCAGCATTATGCGGCCTCAGAAGGACCATCGAGCGCGAATCCTCGGCGTTGTTATCGATCGATCGATTTTCAGGACACATGACGACCTTTTTCAATCCTGCTGAAGACTCGAGATTCGTTCCGGCTCTCGTGCAAGAAATGAGAGAACAGAAAATTGAAGTACCTGCCTTCCTCAAGGATAGGTTGGGCGAGAGGGCTGAACATGTATGCCGATGAGACAAGATTCTTCTTGATCAGGACTTACTCAGACATCGATTTTCTAGGCTCGCACTCGCCGCACCTGGGGCCTGTTCCGCACCGCAAGAGTAAAAAATCAATCTCTGATCGCGAAGATCTCCCTTCGGGAGCAGCATAAATACATGAAAACTGTCGCGGAGCGCAGCTATCGGGATCAGAATCTGGGGCGACGTCTCACGATCTATGATTGGGAAAATGGTCTGGACGATCCCGGTGTGGCAACCTTACCACCGGTCGACAGGAGGACAGTGATCTGGGGAGCCAGGAGAAGTATCGCCGCAATGAAGTTGACAAAGCCTGCGTAGCACGGCCATACGATTTCCCTTCTTGATAATTAAAAATACTATCTCCTACCGTCGAACCTTAACCCAAACTCCCAGTGTATTTCCGAACGAGCAGGGGAACATATTCGGCGTCCGGAGAGCCGAAGCGAATTTCACTTTGTGTGAAAGAAATGAGCAATAAAATAAGGATTCCCACACGACGCCCTCCCAATATATCTCAGACTAGCGCTCCCGGTCGCCGCTTCGCGGCGACTCGGTATCGCTAGACTCACTACACATGCGCTAGCTCCGAGTGCGCTGGCTCCGGGTGCGCTGGCTCCGGGTACACTGGTTCCGGGTGCGCTTGCTTTGGGCGCGCGAGCTCTGGGTGCGCGTCCCGTTTCCCGCTTTCCCGTTTCCCGCTTTCCCGTTTCCCCGCTTTCCCGGTTCCCCGCTTTCCCGGTTCCCCGCTTTCCCGGTTCCCCACTTCCCCGTTTCCCCGCCTCCCCGTGCCCCCGCTTTTATTAGATATGTCCTCCGGAAAAATCGATACACTTCACGGCTACAGCGATTTTCAGCGAGATTCATTAGTAAAAAGTCAGAGGCCAGTGATGACGGCAACCCCCGATAGACTTCTCAGGAGCTCCCAAGAATCCGCCCCCTCATGGTTGTCCAGCCGATAAGAAATCCTGCGAATTCCCGTGTTTCCCTTGATGAAATCTTTGATTCTCGGTGAGAGGACCACTCAAATAATTTTTTCATGGAGGGAAGACCCATCACATGAGAACGACGACCCTCATATGACTTTCCTGAAGCTCCCAGGAACCCACCCCTGAATTTTTGCGGCGATCGGTTCAGGCGTTAGTGAATTTTGCGAATTTCAGATTTTTCAATTTTTTTCCGAGTTTTCGTATTTTCGTGGGTGGAGCACTCAAATAATTTTTTTAAGGTAGAAGGACTCATCGCATCGGAGAACTGACCCCCCTATAACCACCGCTGGATCCCACAGAACACGCTCACAAATTTTCACGACGATCGGTTCGGCCGTTTTCGAGTCTATAGGGTACCCCGGACAGACAAACAGACAGACAAACAGACAGACAAACAGACAGACAAACAGACAGACAAACAGACAGACAAACAGACATGCGTTTTTTATATATATAGATGAGACCTGAAGATATTTCCTGGAAGAATGACTCCTGTCGTCTTCCTCATTTTCCGGGACCAGTCGTAGCTGACCTCTTTCGGGTTCGACGAATTATCCAATGAACCGAGAAAACGAGGGGCCAATAAGAATGCCGAACAGATTCGCTTGAGTGATGAATTCAACGATGAGGCACACGACTCGCCCTGTATATCCTTAATTTATGATTGATGAAATCACTGATAAGGCTCCTCCATGTTTATCGTCTACGCTCCGTTGGGGATGCGACGGGGCGCGAGGCGCATGCGGCGCCTAGCTTCAAGAATTTCCGCCTTGTTCTGCTCAAGATGTAGGATGAGGGCAGGCGAGGTCTGCATCTCAAGAGTCGCAGTGTTCGGGTCACAGTGGCTCACACCCGCGCAAGTTCGGTCACTTCGGTTCAACGAGAAGTAGCCTCTGCGCTGAGAAAGGACATCTTGCGAGACAAGGCGAAAGTTGAGCACCGAAATGCTTTGCCGAAGTTACGGTTATTTCCTGCCAGGTAGACAAGGTGTGTAAAGGTTCCGCTCCTGCATTTTGATCGCTTGCAGTAAACAAAATCCCCGCTCACTTTAGAATCGAGAGCGGAGGAGGACGCTCGGTGCGAATTCGGCCGTCCGAAGCTCTCGGAATAAAGCTTCCAATGCTCCGCAGTCAACGGCCAAGGCGTACCCGGCGTTCTTCAGCGAGTGGATTGGGAAAGGTTGGAGCTGCGTTGTCCCCCCACGTCTGCCTCTTCGTCCGGCCGCGATTTCTCTAGAGAAAAGCCTAGCCTGATAATCAAGCAAGCATACGTCCTGTATCCCGACTGCGTTGAAAAGAGAGAGAATCCGCCACCTTGAGGATACCCGGTAAAGGACAGTGGCGCACCGTGCCACAATGGTGCTCGAGGGTTGTCCCTGAGTGCCCAGGCCCAGACCTCAAACTGAGGACCTTCAATTTTTCTACTGGGCTCTCCAAAGTTATCGCTACGCGACATGCGGCGGGCCGAGTTTCGAGTCGGACCTGCATCTAAGAGTTCCGATTCTCTTCCCGGATTGGGCCCCTCAGCGCCTTCACGGGGGGATTGCCCGTCAATCAATGGATGCGCCCCTATCCCTTTATTTTCCCTCTCCGGACAGGAGGATCGAATAAACAGAGTTCGACTGTATTATCTGGATTACACTCCCCGCAGGACAAGATCGCTTCAATCTGGACTTTACCGCTGCGAAATCGTCGATATGTCTGTCCCTCAGTGCACGGGAGACACGGAAAGCTGGATGATCTGTAGCGAGTGGCATTCGAAGGCGCGATTATCAGCGACTCCTGAAGTGAGTTTGAGACCTCCCGCGGCGCGAGTTCCTCTCGCGTTTGTTGAAGCAGTTTCCTCCATTGAAGTCCAATCCCTTTCGTGCCCTCATGACTCGATGGATCCTATTATCACATTTTATTCCGGTCATCACCATTCAATAAATTCGTCTATTATTACAATATATTTTCTTCACAGATATGCGTTCTCTTGCATATCAATCACAATGTCAATTTTTCCTTATCCGGTTCAGCCTAGTTATGGGCTAGAACTTCCATCTCTGAGAATATCTAGGAGCTCAAATTCGGAACGTCGCGTCGTAAGTGAAGTCAAACTATGATGCTCGATATCGGGACCTCAAGCTACTGATCACGGCTGTCTTAGGATCTGCGACCTCAGGATGAGGTAGAGGACACATTCGATGCCGCTTGATCACGATTGACCTGGGCTAGCACGAAATTGATCCTCCTCATAAGCTGCGACATTTCCTCGTAAGTTTCCATGAGAGCATCGACTCTCTTTCTTTCCGTGTCGAACGAGCTCGGCAACGCTGGGGCGGTACCGTCCTGTGCATCCGCGGCCGTCGGATCGATCCGATCGTTTAGAAACCCGGGATTGTTGTCGAGATGTATCATCATGAAGCTGAGGAAGAAATTAAACGTTTGCATGCTCGCGATCGTATGCCATGCGCCACAGTAGGTACTGGCGAACACATGCGGATTCCGGAAGGTGGTCACATCCGAAAGACAATCCTGCATTATCCTCAGAGAGCGTCCCAGCTTTTCGATAGTTTGTGAAATAAAATCGCGCACGGTGGGCATGTCCTGTAAAGTCAAGAGCGCTCTGAAACTAGTTTAGATCTCACTCAGCGTTCCCGACAGCAATCAATGGAGCGGGAGAGCCTAATGCCCCCCTGAGACTCGAGAAGTCATTGAAAAGTCTCGAGCCGTGTCAGGGCGCACTGAGACGAACTTCTCGTCGATTCCCCGGGATATCCCGGATGATGATCGATAGTCAGGATAAGGAGCTCTTGAAGGGCGGCGACGGAAGGAGACGAACCTGCCTGCTTCTCTTCGGAGCGTTGCTGGCCATTTTTCGAATCGTCGACGAATTCGATCGGGCAACCTCTCAGACACGCACGATGCAAACAACGGAATGAGCCTGTCAACGACGTGCTACGGGTGTTGTCATATTTTGGGAAGAGGAGGGCTTTCCGAGAAGATGTTCTCTTCAAAGAAGCGGTTGGAAGCTCATCCAATATTCGCATACCGAATCGTGCTCCAAGATTTTCCCCCGCCGTGGAATATTTCGGAAGTTCCTGAATGGAGTCAAGCGTAATAAATTGAAAGACGATTGGTCAACTCATTTCCACACTCATGAGCATTGATGAATTCGAGGACCCGTCGATAACGATTTTTCCTTCCGGCTTCCTACAGTCCTAGGAACCTTCTGTCGACCTTTGTGAGCTTCCCGAATCCGGGATTCCTCACCTAATCTTCGTCGGACCAAGAGAAGGATCGCCGCCGATGCCGAAAAAAATCGCTGCTCCGGAGCGGGATCCAATGGAAAGAGTGTCGGATCGGCGTCTGACGACATGACCACCCGGCAGGCGGGCAGTGGAAAAAGTCACAGGAGGAGCTCAGGAGCCCGCATTCGATGAGAATCATCAACACTCCCCATTCCACGGAGGTGCTCCGAAGATCCCGGGAAGAGTTTCCGATAGATTTATTATGAGACCCGAATCACCGAGGAATAGAGAGATTAGTACAGTCTTCCGGGGAACCCTTCCGAGTGGACAGGCACCCCGAAGACTGAGGGAAATGTCCCCCGCGGAAAACCCGCGTAGATGCCATCTTTTCCGGTATAATGCCGGGCCCAAGTTCTCAGACGATGGTCGAGAAAGTTACGGTGCCCGATCCACTCGCGTCAGACCTGTACTCACGTGGCTGACATACTTGGAAATTACAGACAACAAGAGACCTCTGGGAGGTCAGGCGGATATTGTAATGTTCCAAAGTCCAAACTTGGGAGACTCGTACCACGTTTCGATGAAGGCAAGAAATTGCAAAGCCATCGACCGCGTCGGATGGAATATTTGATCGATCTTTCACCAGAGAATGAAGAGGACTAATCGATTGTCATCATATGCAGATTCTCTTAGCTTTTATTTCCTTCGCTCAGTCAGTATCATAGTCTAGGCTGAGAATCGGATCAACCCTTCATTAGCTTCTTCAATTTCCGCAACTTGGATGGTTTCTGCGTCTTGCTCGCCCTCTGTTGCAATACAGGACCGTCGTCCCCCTGAACGATTGACGTCCCTTGCGCAGACTCCAAAACAGTCAACAACGCGATGATGAAGCCGATCGTGGTCAATAAATTCATCTCGCGATCCTGAAGGACTCGAGTCGACAGGTTTCTGGCGGCAGATCGAATCGAGATGCGCTTCTTATATCTCGGAGACCGAGAGCCGAACCTCGTTCGATACGCTCGAGCTCTCCTAACGACTGATCCATGCTTGAGATACCGTCGCCTGAGATCACGACCGCAAAAACATGATGCGGCGAATTCGAGCGTGAATTAAATTCTGTATCAAACAGCCAGCCCATCGAACAAGCTGAGACCCGAGCAAAAGTCATCACTGCTGCTGCGAGCAGCCCGGCCCGTCTCTGTCCAACATTGCACCGTCGAGCCGTATTTCTCTCCTCAGGTGCCGTCAAGCTCCTCTGCAGCGGAAGGGAGCTCCATAAGCAGCGGTTGATTGACTGCCTGATTGACGGCTATCTCTCATTCGTTGGTCCAACCTTCGCAGGGGATCGTTCCGATGAAATTCCTCGAGCAGCACAAAGCGCGCCCGGGCACCGCCTGGATGAGATTAACGAATTGCACGCAGCCCAAGGTAGGACATGGCGGGGCCAAGAAGCGGATTTTGTTGGTCGCTCTAAGTGCGTTTTCCTTGGCAATCCGATCTTCCATAACATTTTCCAGCGCGCTGTGTTTTTCAGGGATGTGAAGATGGAGAACCTCGATGTTCTTCAACAGTCGAGGGAGGGACTTCCGAGAAATTTCTTCAGGGATCGTATTCGAGGCAGTCATCAGTTCCCTCGAAATGCAGACTTGCTTGAGCGTGCCGCCCGATGAAATGGCGTTCCAGAAGGCTGGCTCCTCCAAGGGCAGATCCATGGCTCCGATTTTGAAGAATTCTAGACTCTTGCACCCTTCCATGAAACTTCTGAGATCGGCATTCTCACTCAAGCCCAGAAACGAGAATCGAGCCGTTCTTATTCCTGGATGTACCAGATTCTCGAAACCCAGAATAGGGGGGTTGATGTACGCCAGCGTCAGCTCTTCCAAAGATGTCAGCACGACGAGTTTTCCCAGAACGTACGTCTTCCAACGGATTCGACATTGTGCGCATGATGTCGAATGAGCGAACGGCAACCCAGTTATGTACAGTCTCTTCAACACGATCTTCTTCAGTGCATGTACGACGCTGCAGTTTTCCTCGCATTCTCGGATCAATGCGAGGGACTTCTCTCGGACCAGGGGGTCGTCGTGCTCCAAGCCCAACACGCCGTCTGGCAGTTTGGGTACATAGCAGATCGGGATCGCCAGGGCTTCCAGACGTGGAGCGGCACGGGTCAAAGTCTCCCAATCAGAAAATTCCCCGTGGAAATTTGTCAGATCAAGCTCAATCATATGTTCCACGGCTTGTCCATTGAGTAGGGTCATGGATCCCACGAGGGTTCCCTGAGGCAGTTTGACGTTGCAATTGCAGATGTCCTCCAGCGTAGAAATGTCTTTGCAGGCAGCGATTTCGGTCACGCCTCGCGTATCCACTCCTGGTAGGAGTTCGCAGAAGCGCATGCAATCCCTAACCCAAAATTTCAGCTCAGGACTCGCCGAGCAGAACTGCACCAAGTCCCGAGCGAGCTGATCTCGAGTCGAATGCGAAGAAAAATGGCATGAGAAGAGGACAGTGTGAAGGGTTCTCCACAGGTTTTCATCCAGACAGCTTGTGCGTGATCGGTAGTTATGCGTTGAGCGCTCGCGCCCGACGAACGCGATGTGCACGAACTCCATCTCGGTGCACGCGTTCAAAAAATCCAGGATGGGACTGAACGCCCGGATGAGAGGAGCCGCTTCCATGTAAACTCTCTTGATCGAAGGATAAGCTCCAAATATTGACTTGTCCGCATTTCCCGGTATGTCGAAAAAACTGAAGCTCAAGCTCTCGATAAACTCCAATGAATTGAGCACGTTGAGCAGTTGGAGCGACTTCAAGCCGGAGTTGACGACCTTGAGCTCTTCGACGCTTCGGCATCGCAGGATGAGCTCCTCCAAAACCGAAGGCTCCGCGCGACAGTTGGTGAGGTCTAGCGTTCGGATGTTCGACGAGTTGCGAGCGGCGTATTCCAAGAGCACGTCTGTAACTGCTAGCGTTTTGAGTTTCGAGCTGAATTGAGCGAGACGCCGGCGCAGGCTCTCACAGGTTATCGAGAGCGCCACCAACGAGAGGGAATCGAGCCATCGAAGGATGTGCTCCAACATCTCGTCGGGCAAGTCGAGAAGATTTATCCTGGATCAGATGAAAACATGAGGTTAATGTCGGTTGCCGTGGAGCGATTCCGAGAATCCGAAAACGAGAAATCCGATCCACTGTGTCCTCTGAAAAAATCGTCTTACCTGCGGGAAACCTCAGTTTCCGCTTCACGGTTGCCCGACATCTTGGAGGACGTTGCTTCCAGAGCGGGAATCGATCGATCCCCTGGAGCTCCGTGCGTGGTCACACGCAGGAGTCTGGCCAGTCGAAATTCGAATGAGGGATTGGAAGCCGAATCTTGGCGGTTGTGAACAGATCAGCTGATCAGTCAGATCATATAGAGTCTCCCGCTCTCAGGCCCTGTTCCACCAAGCTCCATTGGTGCACCGAGGGAATTCGGGAAGCGAATTCTAATATTCGACGAGAGCGTTCTGTCATCGCTTCCTGCGGGAGAATGGATTTCCCTCAACGACACTCATAGTTGAATCCTCCGATTCGCGCTCAGCGGGCAAAGTTGTTCCGAGAAACTTACCGCTATCAGTATCGATCGTCCGAGAAAAGGCTCAGCTTCTTGTTTCTCGAGTTGACTTAGAATTCTGTCTCAGGGCGTGAGATTCGCCAACGACGATGCACTCGAGCTTGTCAAAATTCCCCTCATGCCGTGTTTGTCGTGCTTACCCTCACCAGGCAGAGCCGAATCTTGTTGATGTCCACTTCACATCCTCCTCCTCTTTCTGTCATTTTAGCAGACACCTCGATTATATAACCCGGGAAAAAGAACTTCAAGGGTCAAGCTGATCCTACATGTCGAGCGCGGGCCAACTCTATCGCCGTTGGAAGGGTCGAATGTCGGGGCTCTCGCGAGACGGCGTGATCCTTGCGGGACGTTCCTTTTTTCATAGAATCGAGACCTCGGGCGATTGCTGTCTGGCGCGAAATTCGAATTGGGATGAGCGAATAACGAAAGCGGTGCACCGATGCGTCTGAGCAAGTAGGCAGAAATTGGGGGAAAGAATGGGGACTCGACGGGGAAAAGGTGTAGATATTCACACAACGGTAAGCGCGTTTGCCCTCGAGTCCGAGCGAGCGAGCTAGCAGGGGGCAAGGCGCGGCCCTCGTTCCCTTCATTGGAACACATTCCAAGATGGATCATTCCCTATCGGCGGAGGAGTGAATACCAGACCACGAGAAATGATCTCTATCTTGCATCTTCGTCACTGAGGGAATCGAAGATCTCAGATTCCAGAAATATGCTGACGTGAGAGCGCGGCACTCTCGGATTGATCGCCCGCTCGCGATCGAGAAGTTGGAAGAGATCATCTGTGCCCCTTTATGTCTCTGCCGGTCGCGCGTTATCAGCTGTCTACTACCTTCTCATAAGGCCCCGTTGAGCGGCTTCAGGGGCCTAGGTGTTGACGACGACAGCAGCAGCCCCAGAAGTTCTGGGTGAGAGTGAGAGGGCGACCAAGTCATCATCAAGCAGACGACACTCGGCCGAACAGTCACTCGATGTTCCGGAGGGGCTTGAGCAGCTGCCTGCAAACCGTCCGCTCTTCGGCTGCACTGACGAGAGCGCGTGTGGTGTGTAAAGTCAAGACCACTTCCAAGAGATCTTTCCCTGTGACATATCGGAATTTCGCAAGCATGCCGAAGTACAGCATCGTCGAGCGCGGAACTGAAAATACTCCGTCCTACCGGCAAGTACATATTATTCTTGTTAAGTCATCCCGATCCCTCGCCACCTGTGGTCCAAGTTCCAGAGTTCCAAGTCTCAGATCAGAATCACGTCATGTGTTCTAGTATCGAAGATACGCGGGATGGGTCGAATCGAGTGTTCGTCTTCAACGAGCAAATGTCATCGACTGATAGCAATCATGCGGTTTCTGACAAGTGCTCGCCACCAATCTGTTCTCTTGTGTGACCTCTCGAGTCGATTGGTTTGGCTTATCCTCATGTTGATCTTGAGCATACGGCGCGCGTATAGAGACATTCGATCTGGGCTGTCTCTCTCGAAGAAGATCGACACGTGCTCTTCGAACGCCGCAATCTGTCATTTTTGATAGTTCTCGTTTACTCGTCTACGGGCGGCGGTCAAAACTGTTTTGGCTCTTGGAATATCACCAACGTTATCGAAACGTGGCATTGAGCTCTAGGCGCCGGACTTGGACTATCTGTATCGTTGGGAGTTCGCTGACTAGTGTCTCGCGCGGAACGCTAAATTCCCGCTTTCACATTTCTCCTTGCATAATAATCGATTCTCTGCTGCAAAGAAGCCAGGGGAGCGGCACCGGGCTCAGTCGCTTCTTCTTCGAGGAAGTTGAGCGAGAAGTCGAATTGAATAATCGTTTCTCTAAAGTTCAGTGTCAATGATATCATTCGGCACCAACTCGCGTAAGTCGCTTCTCGAACTTTGTGACCGTCTCGTGGAAGAGTCGTGTTGTCCGAGCAACACCGGAGCGGAAGTTGGCTCTAGCTCAGAGCCGGCGGTAATTTTTCGAGCGATCGAAGATCGATGCCCTTTCCGTGACACCCGTCGAGATGATAGCCGACTCATTGTGAAACTGTGAAGAAGCAAGGAACGACATGACGATTTGTCCTCTAAGAGGCCGAGAGCATGCGACCCTCAGAATTTGTAACGGAGGTCGTTTCTTGCAGACTTTTCATCCAGGATGAGAGCGGCCAAGCGCTGTCACCGTTCCACGATATTCCCTTGTTCGCGGATAGCGACAAGAAAATTTACAACATGGTCGTTGAAGTTCCCCGATGGTCAAACGCCAAAATGGAAATCGCCACCGGTGAACCGCTGAACCCCATAAAGCAGGACACCAAGAACAACAAACTCCGATTCGTGAAGAACCCCTTTCCCCACCACGGTTACATCTGGAATTACGGCGCGATCCCGCAGACGTGGGAAGACCCAGGGAAGGTCGATCACAACACTAATTGCAAGGGCGACAACGATCCCATCGATGTCTGCGAAATCGGTCATCGAGTAGCGAATCGAGGAGACGTCATCCAGGTCGGGAGCGCTTCAAGCCCTCAAATTCATGCGTATATCGACCCGAAGGGACGAGAGAACCCCTAGAACGCCATATCGGTCGGAGACCGTCCGCTTTTATATTTCATAATAATGTATTTCGATTTCTAGGTCAAGGCTCTCGGAATTCTGGCGCTTATCGACGAGGGCGAAACGGACTGGAAGGTCATTGCCATCGACGTCCTCGACCCATTGGCCTCGAAATTGAATAACATTCAGGACGTCGAGCAGCACTGTCCTGGCCTGCTGAAAGCGACCGTAGAGTGGTTCAAGATCTACAAGATTCCCGACGGGAAACCCGCCAATCAATTCGCATTCGACGGTGAAGTCAAGGATCGCGATTTCGCCGAAAGCATCATCAAAGAAACCCATTCGTACTGGACAGACCTGATAGCGAAACCCGATCCCAAGATCAACTGCGCGGCTGTCCGGGTGCCCGGCCCTAGCGGTATCTCCCCCGAGGAAGCGTCATCGATTGTGGAATCTTCACCTATTTATGTTCCGAATCCGGTCTCGGACAGCCTCGTCGATAAGTGGTACTATCTCAACGACAAACTCGAGCTCGTCTGACCTGCCGAGTCATGAATTTCGCGGCTGAGAGTCGGGGAGCAGCGACGTTGATCTGATGCCTTTATAGGAAGCCCGGGAGGGGGTAGATTTTTCTCAACTGATTCTTCTAATAAAAGCATTCCATTGGTATGCGACAAATAAACGCTTAAAAATCGACCTCGTGTATTCCGTTGTGCAACCGCTTTGCTAGCTGGTCGGATCTTTGAGTCGGAATCGCTGGAGTCGAGTACATCGGGTTAATGAGTCATCAATAAAGTCTTTATTAAAATTCTGGAAGACAACGTACGTCTGGCCTTAATATAAATTCCGATGCTACAGCTCTCTCGGAGCCGAGATTCATGAAAAGCACACAATCATTTGGATTTTCATTCTCACGGTCCTGGAATTGCTGCGATGTCATCGAATTTTCGAATCTTCGCTCGTCGTGGTTACTGTCGGTCGAGGGAGAACTGTCCGTACAAGATTGAGCTGGTGACCGGAGGTAGTCGTAGTAATTTCACGAGGATTCTCGGCGGAAACTGAGATGAGAATATTCTGACACGATCTGAGCGTATCAGTCTCATGCGCACCCTCAGGTGTTCCTCGTGATGGTGTCCGTCGTGTGATGGCCCAAACCGATCTGTTTCACGATGCAGCTAACCGCGCGGAGCTTGATGAGGAGGGGCTCCTCTTCCATTATCCCCGACCTTAGGTTGATGATGTCGGGAAGGATTCCGGCATCTTCCAATTTGGTGACATTTAAAAGTATGCCGAGCTTTGCCAGATATGTTTCGAGATCAGGTTGACCCAGTGCTGCCTCCAGATACCGCAAACTGCAGTATGGTTCGCTTTTCTCGTCGAGAAGAACTAGAAGCAATTCCACTCCATGGAAACGTTCCAACTGGGAGGGATCCGCCATCGGGAAATGTTAGTCGATTGTCTATCTCACAGCCGTGAGTCAACATGAGGGCAGAATTTTCAGAACATGAAGTCGGAGAGCTACCCCCCGGGAGAAACCGAAGAACTCACCTTTACTTTGTGCCGCGTACCAGGGAGGCTCAAAGGACAGCCTCGGAAGGAGATCTCGTGGACTCTGTCCGGGGCTCCGCAAATTTTTCGGTTCGATCCATCTTGCGCAGGGCATCTGCTGTCGGAGTCCATGTTCGCTACTTCAAGCCAACACGACGCGTCTTCCCCGATCCTCGAATTCGTTCATTCTGCGAGTTTACGATCAGAGGACGTCTGGATTCTGCATGACATCGAGGCTGAGGTGCGTCGTGCGAACGTGCAGCGTACCATGCGACTTCGTCGTTAGATGTCGATGTATCGGTCCGAACGGAATCAGAGCGTAACGGATGAAGCTCAGCTCGAAGCTTCATCTTTGGAAAGGCGACGATACCTCGTCGTCTTCGATGCGCCCAACACGCGCCCCTGCACATTCGGTCTCCCGAGGGTGGATCGCAGGGACAAGGCCATTTAGATCTCGACTGCTGTGGGACACACTTAGCTATCGCCGTATCGGCACAAACGGGAAATTGATCATTTCAGCCAATGACATGAATGTTTGAGTGTTCTGCGCCTGATAACCGTTATTGCGCCTGATGCCTGATCAAGAATCGTCATCAGCACGACCCGCTTCAAGATCACCCGCCCATGCCTGTCTGAACCACTTTTCTTGTTTCGTGCTCCCTTCCAGTGGATCCTCTCTTATCCGAGGACCTACAGGATCCTATAGACCACAGAGCGTCACCCCCGCGGGTACTCGCCCGCGGAGCAATCATTTCCGTAAAATTTCTTCGCATCGATTCGAGGGCGATTCTTGGAGAAGGGATCTGGGATATCTCCTGGCCAGACTTATGTTCGACGGTAGAACTCACTCATCTCACCCAGACTCTGACCCAAGCCGAAGTTATGACTGAATTTTTCGAAGAGCGACTGCAGCAGGGAGGGGGGGCACACGATGACTGCGGCCCCGAAAACTCGGGAAAACACGATGCCCCCCCCCTCTTCCCCCTGAATACGCGGCTGGGAAAACTTTTTTGGAAGGAGTCGGCTCTAACAGCAGTGAGAGCTCAGAAGAAGCTGCGTGCTAGAAGTTGGAGAGAAAACCTGAATTCTAGACTCGTACTTGGTGACTGTGCGGAGGGGGATCGATCTTTGGCGCCGAGATCGGTGGATCGACTAGGAGGTCCTGGACGCTATAAAGAGATTTCGTAATTTCAGGAGGCGATTGCGATTGCAGATCCTCGATCCTCGGCTGGCACCGAAGGAATTTTCGGAGCTTGGGTCCTGAAAACCGTCAGCGGGAAGCAATTAGAGCCGTCGCGTCGGGACTACCTCCGACTACTCGCCGCTCGATTCGAAGTCTTTCAGCTGCTCGAGGGCAGACTCACTAATTTAGGGTATTGCTGACAGCATAATGCGCACTGACGATTGCTTTTTATACATACTCTCGAAAATGGTTCGTGCCCCCGAGATTCGTCCTAGTGACAGCAGCTCAGCCCGCCAAGCTTTCTCGGCAGAACGAACTTCCGCCGAGCAGGAAAGTCTGCTGACTACGAGCCCGGTAAAGGCCAACCTTCACCGCATTCTCAATCGCGCGCCAGGAGTCCCGATCAGTCATCGCTCTCGGAGCTCGCACGTCGGGAGGACACAAATTCGATGGCGGAAATGGAGAGTCGTTTGGTTGGATAGCTGTGCGGACACGCAGGGGTTCTGTCTCATAATCAAGCATGAAAAACTTTCCCTTCTCCATTCGAAGCTTGCGCCATCGAGCAGACCAACATGTGCAGCACTGCTGGGTCGTCGTCCATATGTGAGACAACAACAATAACACAGGTGTCTTCCCGGAATGTGAAACATATACAGTGAACCATCAGCCGGAGGAAATCAATCCCATTCGTGCTCTCATTTCGTGCTGCTTGTGAGGGTCGTCGAGAAAAGGGACAGGTCTCGAGTCTCCATGCTGACGCATTTGCGTCGCTGCTTGTCAAGGATGGCGTTCGGCGGCTCCCCGGTGAATCGTCTGGTGAACGAGCGCAGTCCGTATCTTCTCCAACATGCGCACAATCCCGTAGCTTGGTTCTCATGGGAGGACGAGGCTTTCGAAGCCGCCCGGAGGGACAACAAGCTGATCTTCCTGAGTATAGGCTACTCTACCTGTCATTGGTGCCATGTCATGGAGCGTGAGAGTTTCGAAAACGAAGAAGGTTCGTGGAACCGCGCACTCGCGGGGCGAGCTCTCGGAGCTACGGTTAATCATCAGGGACCGTTCCGGGGAGCTAATCGATCAAGTGTGCGATCCCATACTGAACTCCCAAGAACGAGGATCGAGCCGAGGTTGTTGACACTTGAGGGTTTCCTTTCCAGTGGCGAAAATCTTGAATGATCGCTATGTCTCGATCAAAGTCGATCGCGAGGAGCGTCCTGATATCGACAAAATTTATATGACGTACGTCCAAGTGACTTCGGGTCACAGTGGCTGGCCTCTCTCGGTGTGGCTGACGCCTGAACTGAAGCCGATTTTCGGCGGCACCTATTTTCCTCCCGAAGACAATCAGTACGGTTTGGCTGGCTTCAAAACCATCTTGCTGATGCTCGACGACAAGTGAGTGCGCGACCCCGTCCGCGTCATTTTCTCCACGTCCCCTCTGATTGTCGCCGTGAGCTTCGAAGCTCGATATCTCTCATTGCACCCAGACAGCCGCTCGGATATGACAGATTTTCATTCTCTACTCGCAGGTGGCATTCGTCGAAGAACGAGAAGATAAAAGCGGACTCCGATCGCATAACGGCAATGCTGGCCAGAGCTTCGAACCTAAGAGAGAATCTAGAGGCCGCGGAGAGTTTCCAGCCTTCACAATGCATAAAAGATTGTTCGCTCATTCTGCAGAAGCACCTGATCGGCTTCGTCAAAGAGCCCCGCTTCCCACAGTGCGTCAACGGGAATTTCTACATGAATTTATTCCATTTCCAAAACAATAGAATGGGTGTTGATATAGTCGAGAGGCAGCTCAAGGAAATGGCCACGGGAGGCATCCATGATCATCTTGGGGGAGGATTTCATAGGTATACTGTGGATGCGGCATGGCAGGTCCCACATTTTGAAAAAATGCTGTACGATCAAGCCCAAATTCTGGCGCTGTACTGTTCCTACTTGAGAATGCCTGGAATCAAACCAGAGATCGCCAGCTTCTTCGGAGGTGTCGCTACGGGAATCGCAGGTACGAGCGCTTTGTACATGAGGAGTAGCGAAATCAATGGAGGACACTCAGCTCTTCCTCTGACTAAAATATTCTTGCATCGAGAAAACCCGGACCTGATGATAAGGTCTCAAGCCGTCCTCGGATTTTCAGATTACGTCATGAGAGATCTCTCTCACCCTCAAGGAGGATTCTACAGCGCGGAGGACGCGGACAGCCTCGAGAGTTTCGATTCATCGGACCACAAGAAAGAAGGAGCCTTCTATGTTTGGACCATGGCTGAAATCCAGAAAATACTCTCGAAGAAAGAAGCCAAGGTTTTCTGCGAATTCTTCGGTGTCGACGAGCAAGGAAACGTCGATCCTCACCACGATGCTCAAGGAGAACTCCTGAACCAGAACACACTGTTTTACCGCTATCCTGATTCATATGATCAGAATATCAATGACATGGCAAAAGTCATCGACCTCGAGGACGGGGACCCTCTCGACGAGATCCTCGAGTCAGCGAAGCGGAAACTTCTACAACGACGGCTAGAAAGTCGTCCTCGACCTCACCTCGACAACAAAATTGTCTCGGCCTGGAACGGACTGATGATCGCGGCGTTGGCTAAAGCGTCCGTAGTCCTGAAACGACCCGCGTATGCGGAGCGGGCGTTGAAAGCCGTCGACTTCATCCGGGCGAATCTTTTTGATCGCGAGAACCAGAGACTTTACCGCAGTGCCTACACCGAAGGCGAAGGGGACGCAGCGCGTGTGGAACAGCTCGAAAAACCTATTCCTGGCGTGCTGGAAGACTACGCTTTCGTGATATCCGGTCTCCTGCAATTATATGACGCTACGCTCGATGAGCAGCTCCTACTCTTCGCGAAGATTTTGCAGGATAGTCAAAATAGACAATTTTGGGATGAGACGAATGGAGGTTATTTTCTCTTTTCGGGAGGAGGATCTAACATAATTTACGTACTCAAAGACGATCACGATGGAGCAGAACCGAGTGCTAACTCGGTGAGCATCGCCAACTTGATCCGGCTCTACCATATTTTCGATCACGAACCATATCGCACAAAAGCAAACAAAACTGTTAAGCTCTTCGCTGAGCGATTGTCCAAAGTCCCGATCGCACTACCGGAGATGGTCAGTTCTCTCATGTATCTTGTGGAGCCTCCAACGAAGATCATACTTTCCGCCGAAGACGATGAAATCTCCGATTTCAAACGGGTTTGTGACGAAGAAGCTAGAGGTTTCAGTATCGTTTTCGCGGCTCGATCCGTCAGTGAACTCGGCTTCACTAAAGAACAGTATCCTGCGGTCAATGGTGAAGTCACCGCTTACGTTTGCAAGGATCTATCCTGCCTTCCCCCGATCAATGATATTGACGATTTGAGGAGGGAGCTACAACGTTGATCTTGCTCGATATCTATCTTTTGTAAATAGAAACAGGGGAGGCTCTAGCCCTACTTGTTCATAGAACTTGAGAAATACTCTCGCCTTGATATAGAAATAAATATGAAAAATTAATGAACACTCGCGGAACTTTTCAAGAGCGTCGCGAGAGTTTCATCAACCATGTCGATTGAAAAACCTATCACGCCTCAGTAACATATATCCTGTTCCTCGATCTGTTTGTTGCCGTCGCCCAAGTTCTGCTTATTTCAGGCTTCCGTCGCGCACTCAGTAGACTTCCTCATGCTCGCATCCTCCGTAGCACTTCCGCTTCTGACTCGAGTGAGTCACGGACCGGCCACCCGACGAGAAGGGAAAAGTCAAGCGAATATCTCGCCTTGGGAAAATCCGGGAATAGAATCATCCATCACGCTCCTGGATTGTCCGTCATGAGTATCCGTTCCTGAGACTTCGCCGCCTGCCTAGCCGCCACACAAAATGTTCCCTGCTTCCATCGAAAATATATCATACCTTTATTCGATAGGTCGGGCGATTTCGCGTCCGAGACAGGCAACGATAACATTATACAAATCCAGTGCCCGTGCGTCAAACTCAACTGGTATGCGATCCCCTAGGTTCGCTTGTCCCTCACCACGATTCCCTTGGCTTTCAGATCCTCACGGAATCCGTCGCAGAGCTTCAAGATATTCAACCGTTCATCAGATTTCATAGCGAGAGCGGCCGAGCGCACATCACATCGAAAATTCATGCAAGTGTGTACAACGTCTTCGGCTCGATCTACGTTTCCCGACTCCTGAGTCTCTCGCCCGAGACGAACGCCTAGAACGTCGAAGTACAGCCGAATGAAATCCTTCAAGGAGGACACCGCCACGTACGCCGTCGAGGAATGAGCGTCAGTTTCTTGAAGTTCTGCGCCGAGCATTTGGACCAGGTCCAAGACGGCGGTCGTGGCCTCGGAGAAATCGAAGTCATCTCGGAAGGACTCTTCAACTTTGAGTTTTGTCAAAAACAGGTTCTGAAGAAGTTTCTCCTCGTTGACATCCGCCCGGAACTTGCCCCGGAGATAATCCTCGCAATCAGTGAGAATGGACTTGAGAATCGCGAGATTCTTTTTCGCTCTCGCATGAAGTTCATCCGAATAATGAATATCGGAACGATATGGTACCCTGGGGGAAAATTCGGAAAGTTCGAATTATGGAGAATTATAAGAGATTATGGAGAATGATGGAGAATTTCTCCTCGTTGCTCCATATCGATTTTCTTCATGCGTATCTCGGTCAGTTAGATGTGACGCAGACGCCCATTCATTCTCATCGGATGGAAAATACTCACCGCAAGCACATCATCCGGAGCTCGTCCGATGTGCCGCTTTCCAGATAGTCTTTGATGCTCAAAACATTGCCCAGGCTCTTTGACATCTTTCTAGAGTCGATCTGAACGTGCCCTGAGTGCAGATAGAACTTTGCCCAATTCGAGCAAGAATGATAAGCACAACTCTGAGCTTCTTCGTTTTCGTGATGCGGGAATTCGAGGTCTTTTCCGCCGCTGTGAATGTCAACCGATGATCCGAAAATCTGTATGGAGGAGGAGAGACTCTCAGAGACGAAGCTCATTAGGGAGAAACTCAGTTACAATTACCACAATGCAGCTGGGAACTTTCCCTCTCCTGAAAATATCCTGGGACATTCGAAGCAGCAGATATCCGAGGAAAGGAACGAGTTTCATCGTTTCTCAGAATCGCTCCTTCGAGTTCCCTCCACGTTGTGAGCATTCATAGGATTATCGAGTTCTAGTCGGAAGTAATCACCTTCGAAGCCATCGCGGAGCACTCGACGTGCCAACCAGGCCTTCCCGCTCCGAAGGGAGCATTCCAAGAAGGCTCTTGAGGTTTGGCGAATTTCCATAAGACGAAGTCAGCAAAGTGGCGCTTCTCATCCTGTAACCTGCTTGTGAAAGCATCTCCCCCTCCGCGGAATCTCGGGTAGTCTGAGTCTTTTTCCGTATCGAAATAGATTCCATCTGAGATCTGGTACGCACAACCTGACTCGAGCAGTTTCTGAATGAAATCAACGATGAGGGGTACGTTTTCAGTTACTCTGAGTACGATCGAGGGTGGCTTAACTTGCAAGCTTTTCAGATCCTCGAAAAAAGACTTTTCGAATTCCCGAGCAATATCAACGCTGCTCCTCTGAGTTTCCTTGCTCCGTCTGATGATTTTATCATCGATATCCGTGATGTTCATTGCGAAAATCACGGAGTTGTTGGCATTTTCCAGCAGACGGCGTATCATATCGAACCTGCAAGGATTTGCCATTCAGTGTGGAGACGAATACGGACAATTTTTTTTATCTTATCGAGAAACTTGTCTGGAAAATTCTCTGACCGACCTAACATAGCAGAAGGCGTGACCGATGTGGGAGTGATCGTACACTGTCGGACCACATGCATACCACTTGACAACATTCTGCCTCTCAAGAACGAGCGGCGTTTTTCGTTTCGCGATCGCGTTGTACACGGAGAAGTCGGTTCTGTGACCCTGCGGCGCCTTCCAGAGGTATTTCGGCGAGCCCGCCGAAGACGCTCCTGTGATGCTGCAGTTTCGCAGGTTGTCGATCCTGCATTTGACTCTGTTGACGAGATTCTTCCCGCCGAAGTCGAGCCGTCTCACTTTTGACGTGAGCATCACTGTAGATGCCGGCTAAGGACTGTGGATCGCGCACGACGGAACATTCGACTCAAACCCGAAGGCATTCATTGAGGCTTGTCTCGAGACCTTTGCCGATTATCGCGCAGCGCTGGACTTCTCATCGAACGAAATTCATTAGGGATATTAGGAACTCAATTCATTCAGAGAACGAGATCAACTGAACCCTCTCGCACAAAGAGAACGCGCAGGGAGCGGCCATGTCCCATGTCCAATATTTGTTGTCAGCTCCAGCAGACGAATCTCCCCGTTTGATTCGCACGCGGCGCATTTTCAAGCCCTGAAGTTCTTCCTCGATTCTTCCCCTCTGGCAGCTGAGTTCCTACTTGCCAATGGTCGATTGCGATTATCGAGAAGTTTGGAGGATTGATTCGCGATGGATGTCTACCTTTTTACCGAAAACCGCTGGCTCTCAAAAGTCGGCTTGAGTATGTTCGAAAGTGCGGAGTAAGCGAGCGTACCGGGTTAAATCGAGGAGTCTTCAGTCATGAATACGGCGCGAGACTGAGCGGAAATTTTTCTCCGTGCATCCGTCGACTCCGGAGTTGCGGGGTTGCCGCGGAACTAGCAGGAGCAAGAATTCTTGAATCGGGATCGGGAAAGGCTCGGATGCCGACTGCGTCCTAGGTCCTAGCTCGAGAGAGCATTCGGTGTCCGAGCGAGAGCCATCTGCCTTATTGGTTATGCTCGCGGATGCTCGCGCTTGTGTGCGGAAGGACACCAGCCACGACGAGAGGCAGAGGCATTACTTCACAAGGGTATACGGTACGCACAGGAAGGATCAGGGATCAGAAAGGGAATACGCACGCAATTGAAAACGAAGAAAGAAGCGAAATTCGTCTTCTCCGATGACTGTATCTCAAATTCGGACATCGAACTTGTTTTGCAAATCCAACTCCTGTGACACATATCCTACGGTACGTTGGTTTGCTTCCTTCCTTTCCTCGAGACATACAGAACGACCAAACGAGGACATCGAAGCTCAGTATGGCTCGATTATTTTGACCGGAAATGTAGACTGAGACGACCGAAACTGTAGAAGAAAATACGACCGCTAGATATCGGTTGATCGAGCTACGTCTAGTTCGCGGCGCAGTCGAGCCCGAGACAAATACAGTCAGTTCTTGATTTAATATAAACTCGGTTTAGTAAACATGTGGATTTCGTAGAGAATTTCCCAGGTCCCGGCCGTCATCATTGACATCGTCGTGTTGTTGGCTCTGTAGTTAGTGAAGCTTGATACAGAGTTCCTGGCAAATCGGTCACATGCTCTCGCAATGGTTGAAATGGTGATTCCGCAAAAGCTGGAATATTTCGCGGTTTTGTCCTGTCAATGGAGCCTTTATTCCTTCCGAGTCTCTATCCGCGTTCACGAGTAAGAACACGGACATTATTCTGGAATAATGTCTGGAATAATGCGAGCGTCTGGAATCGCAAGTCGTAATTTTCCTCGGTTCAAAAGCACGATCTTCTCTATGGATAAACGGTGAAACCTATCTAATGGGTCCACCTTGCGTCCGAGCGGAACGCGGACCGGTACCTCAGGTGGACCCTGGTATGGTATGGTATGGTATTTATTGATCCTCTCGAGCCTATATATACATATAGGCATGAGACCCTGTTTCAGGGGCGATTTCTCAGCAGATCCTCCGGGTTTCTCTTTCCCATTCTTCCAGCAGTCTTCTTGTTTTTCTCATGAGATTTTCGTCACTTTGTTCAGTGAAACCCAATCTCCTAGCCACTTCGTCAATATCGAAGTGGTGAGGAGTGCATTCCGTCATAATGTGAGGAATGGTTTCTTCGTCTAAGCCGCACTTCAAACAGTGCGGCTCGATCCGTTGGTACTTCGCTCTATGCGACCTCGTCGGTAGCATCCCTGCTCTTGCTAGGGCTAACAGAGCGCTCCCCCGACTATTTTTATATAGTCCATATGTTGGGGTGGCTGTATCCTTCCATATACTGTACAATTCCAGGCTGGGTTTAGAGTTCATTCCCTCTCTCCACAGCTCTTCCATCTTTTCTCTAATATGTTTTTTCACCGTATTATTGAAAAGATTCATTCTCGGTCTGAGGTCCTCTGTGTATACTATCGGTATGTTTCCGCATGAGTATTTATCGCTGAGGTGGCGCATTCTTCTGAGCGCTGCTGTCGTTATCTTCGTTGTGGCCATCATGGACAGTATCATGCGTGGCCACCGGTCGGGTTCCATCGCGCTTATTCTCGCGAAATATCGGATCTTGCTCTGCGCTTCTCTCGATTCGAAGGTTGACCACCCGAGTTCGCCTTGTACGAACTCGTTCGCAACTTTATATTCGTTTATTCCCAGTGCCCATTTCCCAACTGCAGTCTGAATTCTTTCGAATTCAGCCGTCATTTGGTTTGAGGCCCGGGACGCTAATACCGCATTCGCGTATGTGAGTCTCGGTACTCCCGTTGCCTTCCATTGTATTCGTGTGATTTCGAATCTGTTAAAGGTCCATAGACATTGGGCGTGCAATTGTTGTTTAGCCTTCCTTGCCTCCCTCTTCCAGTTCAGTTCCTGTTGGAGTAGGTAGTTCGGTTGATCACAGAGGGTAATTCCCAGATATTTATAGCTATCTCGAAATTCGATGTCTTGCCCCTGAATCTCACAGGGGGCTACTTCACCCTTTAAGCGATTAACGACTTTTTCCTCGAAAACTGTCTTCCCCTTACCCCTTCTTCTCGAATGGGCATGGAATGGAGAAGCATAACTTTGGTTTCACAGAGCTTTGGTCTCATTCATATATTCTCTGTATATAGATTTTGTCATTCCCGCTCGTGAAGGTATATAAAGTCTGACGCACCAGCTTCTGCTTGTGGTTCAAGATATAGTTCTGGACTCCTCTCCAACGCTCAAGTATAGAATCGTAAGCATTTGACGGCACCGCGCCCACCACGAATACGAAAGACTTCAGGGTCTTGATCTCTATTCGCTATCGGGATTATTGTATGACACCTCTGCCCATAGAGTCATGACGGGGCTTGCGTCGACGTCTCTGATCATTTCCTGAAGAGAGACTTTCCCATTTCGCCAGGAGAATGTTTTGATCTCTCGCACATTTTCGTATTTGGCTTCCCCTGATGCGGTATTCCTCGGCAAGCGAGCGTTTGATCCGCCCTCATCCGAGCTTGCGGATCCCCTTCACTTTTCATGCAGCGGAAGCTCACAACGTTTATCCATATCACAAGGTGTACCGCGGAAGGACGCGTCGTCAATGCGTGCCGTACCGGACTGTTCAGAATCATTCGATGCTCCGCCATTGTGAGAGATGAAAGCTCTTCGCAGCGCTCGCCGCGTGCAGCTCATAAATTCAAGCTGATCTATGATCAAACTAGAGAGCCGCTAGGCATCGGTCCCTTTATGCAGATAAGGTTTGGTCGCGGTGCCCGGAAGGCATGGACAGTGGACACGTTGCTCAGGTGGACGCTCTAGGCTTCCGCTGCACTATGGCAGTCTAAGTCGAAAGAATCGGTGCCAGAGAAAAGCGGACGGATACATAAGTAGGACCCATTACGCGATTGGACCCTACGTCAGGTTCCCGTGTAGTTTGATTCGAAAGGCATGAGACAAATTGTGCTCGACCCGGGCATGAGGCTTCGTCATACACGCGAGGCGTCGGAGGCTTTCTGCTCCTTCTATCCGATCACGCACTCGCTGATCCGAGGTGAGTACAGTCTGTGGCGCGATACAGGGGGCATGAGCTTCCACAGAGTTCACGTATGTACTACTCATACACAGTGCGGGTGGAACGTTCCATCACGACACACTACATAATGACATCCGTGTACGAAGAATCCGACTGTCACGTGACGGCTGCGACGATCGGATCGCTACAATGATCCGTCTGTCTAAGCTGGCCTGCTCGAGATTCCCGGGTCAACCTCTCTAAGCTTTTGTCGGTTTCCTCTGCTGGATTCCTCGAAAGCTGGTGTCCGTCCCAACCAGGAGGACTTCTGAAGGTCTTCGTCGGAAGGGATCGCCGCGTTGAGGAGGTAGATCATCCGGCTTCTCGAAATCGTGGCGACTCTTAAAAGTTTTCTAACTTTCGTTCGCTCTGAGTCTGCGGGCCCTGGTAAGTACACTGAGGGACGAACTTCACGGGGAAGGCATTCAGGAGGAATTTGTCCGAAGTTGCCAACGGGCTTCCAAGGGGGCTAAGCCTGTCCCCTTGCGCGAACTACTTGTATTCTCGATCGGCTCTCGAATAATCACTCCGTCCTCGATGAAGATTGAGTTCTTCGAGAGAATCGCTCTCACTCAGCGAATTCAGGATGTGGGGAGGAGGAGTCCCGCTCGTTTCCGAATTGTCCCAAACGAGTGATTCCGAGCCCGAGTCGGAGGCGTCGAACCCGTGATTATGACGCGCCGCGGTTTGAAGAGGCTCTACTGCACTTGATTCAAAAGCATCTGTCAAGCGGCCACCCTCGATTGTCCGGCAGGAAAACCGAGCCGCTCTTCAAAAATGGCGTCGAAAGCCTCGAGGAAGAGGAAGAGTCGTCTTTCAAGGAGGTTTAAGAGCAGTTCATAGATACAGGTTGTTCCGGGGATGCCATGTCACGATTGCGGGTCTGAAGGGCATCCTTCCCCTTTCGGGGTGACAGTCATCAAACAATGAAATTGAATATCGGAGTTCATTGGAGGACGAGCATTGTACCTGTCCTGATGCGTACATTTTGATCATCGTCCGGACCACATGTCTCCCTGCCCGGCGAACCCATCATGGCGACGTGAATCTCGTTGACGGGGGGGTTCGTCTCGGGATCCAGCCTCCACGTTCACAGTCCTGATTGAACACCCACGCAGAGAGGTGTTGTCAACTCCACGGTTTCTTTTGCTGTGAAGATATCCGTGAAGGGCTTCTGCAGCTTCTCCTGTTCCAAGGGACAGGTCGGCGGTCCCGAGGCGATCCGCAGTTTGACGCACGGGCTCCTTTCAGCAGCCGATTTCTCTTTCTTAGCGAGCATCGGGGTCCTTCGGTTACTGGAGGGACACAGAATCGAAATTAAAGATAGTGTGAGCTACCTCGGAGTCACGCTGGAGAGCGGGCTCACAGGCGAGGCCCATGTGGAAATGTGGCATCGAAAGCGAGGAGGGAAGCTGCTGACATCGCAAAGATACTCCCGAGGACCTACGGCGCATTCGAGGAACAGAGGAGTGAGTATATTGGCCACGGTCGCCGAATCAATATTCATGTTCAGTGAGGCTTACAAAAGAATGAAACACCTCAGCAGACTGTATGAGTGCGAGTTCGATGAACCGCAACATGTGGAATCTGAAGAACGTCACTGGAGAGCCTTCCGCAACGATGTGTGCGACCGCATCAGAACATTCACTGACAGGGAATGGAGGGAGAACATGGAAACCAAACCGAGCCTGAAAAGATACAGGCAACACAAAATGAACAGGGGCACAATCGATCATGTATATGACAACACAAGAGGGAGTACCCTCCTGGCAGGGGCCCGAGCCGGTTTCCTCAACACAAACTCCTTCAGAGCCAGGTTCGAAGAAATAGATGGAAAGTGTGAGCGGTGCGACTGCCACAACGAAACCCTGGAACATGTCATCATGGAGTGCGACGAAGAGAATAGCTCTGAGCCAGAGATCCGCAGAAGACTAGGCCTACACGAAGACTCAACACGGGAAACTGTAGAGCGAACAAAAAGAAGTCTAGAAAGATGGGAGCGGGAGACGAAGAGATATGTCCCCTGCAAACGTCGGATCAACCAACCTATAACCAGCTGAGAAGACTCGCCCCCGCGCATGGGGTCTCCTGGTTACAATGTAAACCTTGTAACACCAGGGATGGTTAATAAATCAATCAATCAATCAATACCCTCGTATGCGGCCCCTGTCTGGTCCTCGTAGGCGCTTCGAATAGAAATGAACCGAAGGACACTAGAACGAGCAAAGCGAATCATGGCAATCCGGATAGCTCGATGCTACAGAACAGTCGCGACGGAAGCGACCTTCGTATTGGCGCGTAGAGTTCCATGGACGCTCCTCGCCGAGGAGAGGGCTAAGATCGACGAGCGCAGCAGGAACAGAAGAGGAGTAGGTAACGAGGCCGGTACACAGCGAACCCAGACGGAGGATATCCGGGAAGAAACCTTCTCGGGAAGAAAATGGCAGACAACGTGGGAGACTAGCAAGACCGGGAATCTCGCGAGAATTGACCGGGCCCCATCCAGCTGATGCATATGCTGTCAAGACAGCGGGGAAGACGACGTGGAGCATACAACTCTGAGATACCCGGCGTTCTCGGACGAGAGACTCGTGAAAAGGAGAGAAAAGGCTCGCACGCAACGGAATCGGGCGTCCCAAGAGCCAACCTAGGAAGTGTAGCTAGAAGTTTACCTACAATGCGTATAGACGTTCCGGGCAGCGAATGAATGATGAATTATTTCGAGAGTAAGAAGAAAAAACCAGATGAGGAATCTGAATATGCTGGTATCGATGAAAAGCTTGGCTTTATTGTGAAGCTGTAAGATGGTGCTACGTGGTCACAATCTTTGAACAATGCAGCTCGGTCAAAAACAGCGATGCATCGGATCTCTTGCGGAAGTCCGCGATACTGTCCGAACAAATGCTACGAACGCTCCGAGTCTTCATCAGTCGATCTGAATCATCGATCGACTCTTGGTTCCTAAGGTCTCTCGGTAGAATGTTATATACAAGGAGGTGCGCGAACGGATCTGGAGCTACGTTTCAGAACGAAGATCTTAAGTCAGTGATGGTACCTAGGAGCTCCCGCGTGACGCTCAGCGACCGATTTTCGTCACGGTGGGACTCAAAGCTATCCGTTCTTGCGACGCTCGTCGACTCCGGTTTCCGGATCCTCCGCTCCCGGAGGAACCTATCGTGTCCCTTAGATCTTTCAGCTCCTTGTCCGTGTTCTTGTTAGGAAGTGGCTGTAATACATCAGTTCATTCGGTTACCGATCCGAATGGGCTCTCTGACGAGTGGACTTAGTCGAACCTCATTGAATCCTTCCCTACCTGTTTCGCGAGCTCGTGAAGACTCCTCCAGCTACCACTTCCTGCCGACACAGGTGCCCCGAGAGGCGGCGTTTCTGGCGCTCCGAACATCCCTGGACTCAGACTCTCGCCGCTCGTGACAGCTCTGCAACGAGACATGGAGACCGTTGCGGAGGCGATGAGGGTCATTGCTGAATAGACTACGAGTTCCGATCCGTCATCGGAACTCGGCAGAGCGAGCGATAATCTGAATACACTTACACTTCCAGGTCCTTCAATTTTTCTGGAGGCGCTCGTTCTCGCGGCAGACCATCTCATGATCTCTGATGAGGATCTCGCGGATGCGGTGCATCTCCGCGTTCTCCGCCCTATATTTGGACGAATTCGAGGAGAGTAAACCGAGACTACTCTGCCGGAAGCTTAGATGATGGATTCGCAGAGTAAATAATTATTCAGCTGATTCTGAAAATTTACCTCAATTCTTCGTTTTCGTGCATGTATTTCGTGACCATGTACTTCTCTTTCACGGGTTCTTCGCCGTTTTCGAGCTCGAATCCAGAATCTGGAGTTTTCGGTGGAGCTGACCCGCTTGATGTCACCTAGTGTCGGGAAAATCGGACCGTGATCACTGATCAGTCCCGTTAAGGGCAGACTCCGCATTGCTCTTGGCTATTTCTACGACATTTTTCGATAATTGTTCTCAGAAACGCCATTACTTTATCCAGTTTGACGCTGCCCGCGGTGTTCTTGACTTGTTGTCGCAAGTAAGTGTTTTCCATGCGGAGCAATTTCACCTCGCGTCGTAGCGAAAGAATCGTAAGCTCCCGGGGATCCTGGAATTCAGCAGAGACATTGAAAGCTAGCGGGGTTTCAACCCCTGACTGTATCTCCATCAAGGAAGATGGGCTATCCAATGACAGTCGAGGGAGATCGATTTTCGATAAGTGATCCCTTAATTGAGTCTAGATGTGTTCCGTCGGCCCTCGCGCAGGTCTCGGGATTGAATAAACAGCGGTCCTCGAGTACCAAGGAGTTGTTTCTCGCCTCTCTCTGTAGATCAACTTCGTCCTTGAAACGCACTCTCATCTCAGAAAATCACTCGAATCGTGAGTGGAGTCAGCTCAACGTGACCTATCGCGCTGACAGGTATGGTTCGTCTGGCGGATACCCCAGTTACCCTGGGTTTGAGCCTTCACGATGACGAGGTCTATTCAGATCGTGAATACGATCGCATCTTCATGGGCAGAGGGCGTGATCGACGCACGCAACGTCTGAGCAGCTCGTGGGCCGGAACTCAAGTGAGCCAGACGGGCTGTGGATCAGGCGAAGAGCTCATGCGACAATCCTATCGGGGGATTATCGTGTCACCTTGAGTCCGGGGTCCTCTTGGGGTGAGGATCCGACGGGATTCCTCGCAATCCAGAGCTCAATAACTTGCTGATCGCTGTCGGAGTGCTCGTGTAGAACGTGGGTTTCTCCCATCGTCAATACAAGGTCGGATCAGTTCGCATTTCTCTCCGACCGCTTCTTTGATCTCTATGCCCTCGCGTTCCTGTCAGAGCACCGATATTCCATGCAAAATCGGGCTAGGATAACGCTGGTTGTCGGGATACCCTACTGGGGTGGGAGGGAATCACGACTTCAGGGCCGCCGAATCAGACATTTCCGTGTAGTTCCACAGGACTTCAATTTTGAATCGTGGTCGGGACCGCTCGAGCTGCTTCGTGCGAGCCCTGAACCGTCGAAAAGGATTTGACCTTCGAATTGAATTTCACTCGGTCACGCGGTCGACCCTCATTGAATACTGAAGTCAAAAGAGTGACGATCGATGGTTCATTGATTATTATTATTAGCAGAGAAGCATACGCTCTTGCCTCTCAGGGTCGCAGGCCGCTCTTTCGACAGCTCCTCTTTCGGCTCGGGGGCCGTGAAATTTTGTTAGGGCATTCCGAGTTCGAGCTACACTTCTGTGGCCCTGTCAGCGTTGATGCCGGCCGACGTTTCCCATGATGTGAGATACATGTCACGGCAGGTGCAAGGCGTTCGACTGATACAATGCAAAGGTGTGGGAGTGCACTCACCATTCGAACCATTGGTTTCGTCTTCACTCGTTTGGCTCTGGAAGCATACCGTAATGTTTGGATCGTTTCGAGGGTATTTGACTTCGCCGGCGATACGCACGCGATCTGAAAGAGAGGTTATTGAGCCTTCTCCGGGACCTTGGAGTACCGCCTCCGCTACTCTTGCGGAAGACATAGCAAAGACAATTCGGAAGGAGAGTATGCGTCGAGATAAGGATAGGGGGGGGGGATAGGGGGCTCGCGGCAGATTGTGCCTCGATGCATGATGTCTGATACCCAAATATCTCGCCGGTGACAAATGAACAACACATCCCGCCTGCCATGCGTTAGGCGCGCTCTACTCTCGGCCTCCCGGGAGAACCGATTCAGTGGGGAACGACTACTCACAATAAGAGCCATTCCGTTGCCAGCCAGAGAGTCATTGAGAAGCTTCGTTAGAGTTGAGTCTCGGTAAGGAATGTGTCCGTTGCGCTTCTTAGGATCGGCCAACATCGAAATGCAGTTTCCTGGGAGAAGGGGGATACGCGAATAAGACGGAAATTACCGGCAAGATTCCTGAGCTCATGCCTCTATGATATTCTGGGAGCATATCAATGAGTTCATAAGAAGAAGGTTGTCGCACGCTTGTCTGTGACGAGTCCCGAATCGTCCTCAGATCCGTTCCCTACGTATAAATACTCACCGAGGACGAGAAGGCTCTTGTTAATGTTGTTGGCTTCCTTCAGAGTGTTGCCCTGGCTCTTGGTCTTCTTCGTTTTCTCGGATCCAGCGAGATCAACGAAACTAAGCTTCCCCTGATCGAGAAGAAATCATCAGTGTCTCGATAAGGTGTCGGTTTAATCTTCTGTCTACTTTTTGGTATAGAGCCATGCCGATCAATCATATAGTGCTTGGTAGCGAGAAAGGTCTAGAATGGTTCGGATTATGAGTGCCTGAGCGATGTCGTACTTGTTTCCTTATGTAGCAGTTCGGGTCGTCAAAATCCTTCTGTTCAGAGTTGAGGTATACGGTTAGGATTGTGTGCGATCTCGATGAGTGTTCATTCATTTCGTGGGAACGAATCTGTCGATTCTTCCGTCCTGGAACGCAACCGCAAGCAATGAGCACATCATCGAGGTTCGGAAGCGTGAGAACTTCGGTGTAAAGAATGTGCTGTCGATACCCGCAATGAGTTGCGGGCCCAGCTAGACATGGAAGAATCGCAAGCAGCCGCGGGCAACCGCAGCGAGAATGGCGACCCTCCGATTATTCCATAAAACCTCGGTAGATGTACTACGGAAACAAAGGACGGAAATACAAGAAGACGGCGCCTAACTGAGCAGGCTCTGGGCCAAGATTGTAATTGGTGAGCTGACACCCAAATCCTGATTTTGATCTGAGTAACGTCCACGGGCGGCAGATATCGAAGCCATGGGCTTTTGCGCGCGACTTTTTGCCTCCAATATAAGATCCGCGCGCGATGTGCGGACGGATCGGACCCTTACTATCCTTCGGTCGGTTTCGACTCCGGCCCTCGATGGGGAGCTGGAGGGAGCTCAGAATCAATCAGGAAGAGCTCAAGGATTTCTTTATTCATCGCCAGAGCAATCCACAAAAGAGATTCATCACAACAGTTGTCCCGTCACCAAAGCGCGTCGGTTCCATCACCGCCTCCAATGATTTGCATTCCAACCAGCTGGTTGAGATTCGGCAATCGCGCCTGGATCGGTATTTGAGCGCAATAGCAGTTTATCAACAACTCAATAACAGCCACGTAGAAGGTAACGTGAATACTAGCGGTCGAGTACGGATAGAGAATTACGGCTTTCACCACCAAGTCCAGTATTGTCATGTCGATCAACAGACGATGTAGCAGCACGTCTAGTTGTTGAATTAATCTTCGAGTTTGCCACAAATCGACCGGATTTGCGAATAGCACTCGATCCAATATCGGCTCGAGGTAACACATGGAATGGAAGACCAAGCCGAATATGTTCTGTAGGAGTAGGAATATCTTAATGCCCGTCGCCAGATGGATGCCCCTCGAAAATACGACGACCTTGACCATGAAGTCGAACGAGTGCAGCACCACGAACACGATGTGGTAGAGAAGGTTCAGAGCGTACAGGAGCTCGGAACTCAGCGGCCATCTCGGGTACGGTATTCCTAGCGAACTCAGAATTATACTCATTTCGTTGTCTCTCGTCGAGTGACCTCGTCACTTCATCGATTTTCTTCCAATGAGTGCCCCACTGCTCGGGAACTCGGGAGTTCACTTTGTGAATTGATCACGCCTCAATTGGCGATTGGAGAGGCGGATGAACCGCGCGTCCGGACGGACGCATGCGTCTCGAACTCCTTGTTTGCGGGGAGCTCAAGAGCGCTTTATCGAGCCCCTGACGTTGAATCTCTCGGTGGGAGACGATCGAAGAATTCTAATTCAGTCGTTGTTGAGTGACCCACGACTAGACTCACTCACAATCAGTACGAGTTAAGGATACGGCGACGAATTCCACTTGGAGCCACTCATGAAGAACAAAGAGTCAATAAAAGTGATATACGATGCTTCGGAAAATTCATGAGCTCCCGCTAAATGTCGCTGCGCAGACCACCATTCTAATACAACGCGTGAGGCGAATCGATCGCCACGCCGGCTCCGAACGACAAGCTCAAATGTGCGTGTACATGGCGTCTCGTGCCAGCGAGAAGACAAAGGGGCCGCTGAGTTCTCGGGTTGAGGATTTTCGGGATTCGTTGAGGTATTCGTGAGACTCGTCCGCGGATCGGTATGTCTGGATCGATTTCCTCATCGAATTTAATCAATCGGTTATCAGAGAGAAACTCACCTTCCTCGAAGACACCCTGGAGGTCACCCTCGTCTTCGCATTCGACCACAAATAAATTTTCAGCATAGTGGCCTTTGTTCTTGTTCCATCGGAGTTGCAAGGATTTCGACGACGGGTTCAAGAGGTCCAAGACGTGTTCTTTGTATATCTCAAGGTAAGACGCTCGGACCACGTAATCGACTCCCTGAAGGGGGAAGAATCAGCGTTGACGGAAACGGGCGAGAGGTTTTGATATACATGCCGTATAGCTCTCAAGCTCGATCCACTTGACTGTGGGGCATACCTTTTTCTGCCTAAGTTCATTGAAGAGATAAGCAAATGCCATTTGTATGAGTCCGGGGGACGCGCTTTTACTCCCTTCCGACCCTGTCATCGTGTACGTCTTTCCGGATCCTGTCTGGCCATAGGCCATGATGGTGGACGCGAATCTGCGAAAGAGCCATTATCGGATGAGAAAACCGGAGACGGTAGCTCGGTAACTGAAGTTTCCGCCGATCAAGCATGTCGTCGTCGCGCAGTGAGTTTCGTGATTTTGGGAGTTTCTGGATCAGATCGGCTGGACCCAATTACATTGCTCTATATGCGTTTGAACGGCAACGGAATCATCAGGTGAGAGTCTCGTTGATGTATCGATGAGGTCTAGGACGATCGGTAATTGTCTCGGAACCGAGAAGCTCCCGAGTACCTAACACGCAAAGGTGCATCGGAGAGTGCGCCAGCGTGGCGATGAATCATTTATTGGCTTCTTGAATAATCAGAGAATATATGCTTCGAAATGCCACGTCTACCGCTATTAGGGTTTCGATTTTCGGAGATTCTTGCCCCGTCAGTTCAATGCCGACAATGTCCTTTACTCGACCCTTCTGCTTATGGCCGACTGTCTCGTGAGTTGCTCCGTGCCCGCTGGGTGCCGCTCGCGGCGGAATCTCCGTTCTTCCAACGTAGCGATTTCCAAACTCTGGATGGATGAATTAGCTCGGAACGAATACGACCGGAGTCCAGAAATGCTCAACTTGTGATTTCGAAACGTTCGGAGCGCTGATTGAGCTTCGATCGCTAGCGCGCGCCTTCAGGCATCTCGCCCCATGAGAAGGACGATAGCTCGCGGTGGCGGAGTGACCGCAGCTCTGTAAACTTCCCCCTCTATCCCGAAAATTCTATTTGTCACAAGCCTCGATCCTTCAGTGGCGAACTCACCCGTCCAGAGCGGCGTCGCAGAGCCGCTTGACGCCGCAGTATTCGAAAACATCTTCCTGGGTTGCTTCAGGCTCGAAAACGACACTGAAGGTGAAGAGCTTCGTCTGCGTCGTACTGTCTTCATCGACCTGGAACGAATGTGGGGTCACGATAATCAAGATTCATGATCGATAGTTATTCAGATCCAACGCACCAAGTTTTCATTGAACTTCAACTAGAGGTAATTCTCGCCACTCAGGCGGCTTGGCGGAGACGGTAAAACGAGGGTCGAATACGACTGAGCCTGATGAAAGACGTCCCCTCCCCGGGAACGACTCGGGATGGGACTCATTATCGAAATCGAAGTGGCTGCGTGCTTCCATTCCGGGTCCAGGACATTTCGGCGCTGGAAAGACTGGAACCACCCGGCCCCTGGGAAATTAGGCGTCAGGAGAAGTCGGCGCCGAGACATCTGTGCATAGTCCAGCTCCAGAGTGAGGCGCCGAATTTTTCCGGCGCCGGAAGGGCCGGCGTCGAGACCTCCCGCACCCCCATGGGGTTGCGTCTGACTGAGACCCTCTCAGATGGCAGGTCTGGCGTTCCCGCCTCCCTCCCGTCCCTCTTGCCGGTCTTGAACCGCCATGGTCCCCATCTAAATTTAAGGATTGCCTGCCGGCATGACTGCCTGCTAGATCGTCGGTCGGAGCCCATCGACAGCTCATGGAGGGAACTGCAAGTCCGCAGAACGAGGTACTCACGAGAATCTGTCCCTCGCCGGGATATTGAAGAGCGTGAGTATCTTTTTTCTTCGACTCGACATCGTTGATGGGCCGGACGCGGACTACGACATTGATGTTATCCGATGAGTCTCCATTGGAGACCGAAGTCTCCGGACTCCCAGCCGTCATCAACGAATCCTGAGATGAAGCCGTTGATGGTCTGCAAATGGAACGGAATCTTTGAATAATTAAAATCTGAGCGGGGCCTGATCTGAGAATGCCTGCCCAGTCCCACCCCGACTACGTCGCGTGTTGTCTAGTTTGAAGCTTCCTCCCCTCAGCCCTCCATTCTCCATACTGTCGTTCCTTCTTGAAGGCTGACCTGGACTTCCATCAGCTCAGTTTGCAGCTCCAGGCACTTCTAGATCAATACATGCTGACGAAATTCGTGTTGTTTGCCCATGTCCCTCCACTACGTCAAGTTCACTAATGCGACCTCTGCCTGAGTGTAATCCGAAATGTTCAGAAATTTGAATTGATCGCTCCGCGGAACACGGAAGAGCCCCGGGTCTCAGTCCCTCTTGGAGTGGAGTCTGTCCAAAATTCGCTTCAACGGAGCAGGGATATGGTCGACGATTCTCTTCGCAACGCCCCCACGATCGGTCATCGAAATTCCGCGATTCTTTAGAAATCATGGAGGAACTCGGATGGAACGTTTCCCTTGCGCAGAAAGGACGCCGGCGGCCTACAGCAGGGGTGCGAGATCCTACAGAAATCAGGGGATTCCCGACAGGATCCCGGGGAGAGTACGCGGCCACTGTTCAGTGAAAGTTTTTGCAGTAAACTCCAGTTTCCGTGACGCTCTGTTTACGAGTCAGAATATCGATAAGAACATTGGACCTCGATTCCGTTCGGCTCAAAGTCAAGGTCCGAGATGGCGTTTCCGGAGGACGGTATTCGACCGCCGTTCTGCTCCATGACTACAACTCTCTCGAAAATATCGAATTGATCGGAACTCGATGCCTCATGCAGCCCCGTGCTTCCGTACTGAAAAACGTCGAATGATACGAATCGCGGTCTCTCCAGCTCCTTTTTTAGGAGCTGATGTGACAGAGAGGGAATCACGCATTCAGAGCGAATGCGTGATTTCCTTAAAAGGGATTCACGCGATTCGCGACCGTACAATGGGACAGGAAACAGATAGAGGCGATGAGAATAGGGAGAGTTCGAATCTTGCTATCCTCCTCGCATCAGTATTCTGGAATAGCTATGCGCGCGATCCCCCGCGCCAAGGGATCCCGCGCGGAAATTCCATCCAAGCTGGAGAGTTGTCTCAGGGACGAGGCTCGTGAGCACGTTTCTTCCCTCGTAGCCCGAACGCCCGATTCGTTGCTGTCAATCAGGTTCCAGAACGCCGAAATCCATCATCGGAGCCTTTGAGACCTGCCTCTCCCGAGCCTAATTCTTGTGGTCATCGTTCACGTTGATACCGATCTGTTTCCCTGTGGGTCCGCGTCACGTCGCTGGCTGTCAATCATCTGCACTGAACGAGCGAGGTGGAAATGCTAAGGTCAAGATCTGGATGCCAAGGGTTCACGGAACACTCCCGTACTGGATTTGACGCACAGGTCGCGACGCGCCAATGATTTAAGGCTCCCGCGCCACTATAGAAACGCTGAATGAGCGAAGCGGAATTTTCGAAGCGAACCCCGTCCAAGACCTTCGAATATCCGGAAATACTCCACGGAAAAGTTCCGAGTGCCCCTTTTCGGAAGATGGCGGTTTTTCCCAATCGAAGAGATACTATAAGGTAACGTGCGTGGACAGCGTCAGAGCCTGGGGTTAGTCAGGAACTTCGTGCGAGTTTCAATGGGCTCAGTGGGTGTCGGAAATGGAACTCGCGCCGCAGAATCCCCCGGACGGCTCTTCGACTGACCCGGTATAGAGAGACAGCTAGACATGGGTATAGCGTCGCACGGAGCGGAAATAAATTCTGATGCGCGATGATTCGAATCATGAACTCTCCGAGCATCGACCCTCGACTCTCCGATGTCACGTATCATGCAGATGTGGATCAAGCGCCGTCCCGGAATGATGTACTTACTCGATTCAATGAGACCGCGTCCAGATGAAACAATCAATGAAGGAGTCAGTCTGAGTGTTATCCTCCTCCCGGGCGAGCGAGCACTATTCCTTCCTCAACCCATGTCAGTCGAGGAAACCTTCGGGCCGAAGTTCACCTCACAATTAGGACGATGGTTTCACATTCGATCTTCGACAGAATGGGAAGCGTCACGAGCGATGACCGACAGCGGCGGCAGAAAACTCGGAATCGAACGCTCCTCCAATTCGCACTTTCCAGGTCAGAATCCGAAAATGGAAATCAGAGAGTGCCTCATCTCGTGATTTGGAAGCCAAAGTCTGCGAAGCGCCACCGACCTGGATCGAGAACGCGTGAGACAACGGGTCCGCCACGCGGGCCGACCGAGGGGGAGGGACTCTCGGAACCGATTGGCGTAAGGCGCAACAATCAATCTGCTGCTCGGGCATTTCCAGCTGGCTCCTAAGGAGGAGAATAATGCCAACAAAGATCAATCGGCTCAAAGAACTTGGCAACAATGAACTTCGTCGCGGAATATAGATTGACGTCCCGAGGTCTTCAATGTTGTTGGAAACCTCCGCGGCAGAACACGACATTGACCGAGTGCGGTATCGACTGCTCCTTCACGTTGAGCAAGCCGACATACAAACAGCTCTCCTTTCCGAATTCTCGTTTCCGCGAGTTCTATCGATTCGAGCTTTCATCGGAATTACCAACAGAGCACAGATTACCTAAGTGTCGTCGCGAGCAATACCTTCGGACAAAGAGTTGGTACACCTCTTGGAATCGGGATTATTGATACAGATTCTCCCGTTCTCGTCGGGGCGCTTCGCATTAGCAGACGGGAGCTCAATCAATTAGTCACAGAAATCGCGGAATCTATCCACGGAGATCAGCTTTATTCGAGAAACTGTTCAGCACAGGGGGTAGTGGCTGCCGAAATTCCAATAACGCGTGTTCCCAGGAACCCATGAGGCCTCGAGGGTCGGAGCGAGGGCACCCCAAACAGGTCACTGGCTCGGATCATGCAAATCGGCTCACAGACACAGACGACGATCTTCGCAGATGTCCCTCACAAGACAATGCGAATCGGCATTTTCTTCTATCCTGTGTGAAGCCTGGCGCGGTGCCGCAGGTCGCTCAGTTGCGGCCCGTGTCTTCGTAGTCATGGTTGTTTCTCTGTCCTCATGATTATGAGGTGAATAGCAATGCTGTTTCGAGTCGGGAGCTCGTTTCGACTTGCTTCCAGAATGCGGGATATTTCCGAAAGGGTCTGGTTCATTACGGCTAGCGTCGGCTCCATCAGCAGCTTCCGTTGACCTTCGAGCGGCTATCCTGTCACCCATTTGACCGCGTCGTTGACTTCGGGATGCCTCCGAAGCCTTCCCCCGTTCGGATATTCGATAGGATCTTCTGAATCGTTTCCGCCTCTAGACGCGCATCCTCTATCGTCGTGATTCCTACGGAGAGACTCGTTGATCCCGATTTTGTCCACGGACACTCCATGAGACCCGCTCCTGTTGTATTCCTTCGCATAGCGTCTCCCCGATTCCCCGTTGTGTTCCGAGTTGGCATCCCCTTCTCCGTCTGGGTTCGTTCTACCTCGTCTTTTGGGGGGCTCTTCGACAGTTTGCTTGCTCTTGACATTTTCCTTACCGTCGGGTTTCTTCATGGTCTCCGGCTTATTTTCAGCTTGTCTAATGGTCATCAGTCATCCTGTTGACTTCGAAGTCGCAGGGCACTTCTCTGATCCCTTTCCCTGCGGCTTTCTGTGGCTTCTTGCTGCCACTGATACGTCTTCTAGTATTAGACTTCTGCAAACCTTCTCGGTCTCAGCTGTGGGATCTCCGCCCTTCCCATCCGCAGTTTCATGCTTTTTCCTCGGAAGGGAACGGGAGGTTTTCGCTTCGAGCCGCCGAGACTCCGGGATCGGAGTAGACGGAGCCTCCTCTCGACTCGGAGATGATTCATCCAGACCTCTGCGAAATACGCGTGGAGCTTTCCGTTCGTTCTTCGCTGGGACATGTGCCTTCCTATTCGAACTCGCCCAGGTCCGGCTGGAATCATTGTGTGGAGCATGGACATCTTCTTTCCTGTTGGAGGGATCCATTCTGTCCCGAGTTGAGCTCACTTGCAGCAGTTCGTACTCACCAGACGCAGAGCTCTTCTGTAAACTGTGTACATATACAGGAGAACAGCGGTGCTCGTGATTCAATCAGACTTTATACTCGCAACCCGAGGAGAGCAGATACAGCCTTTATCTGTGAGTCTCCACAGGAGCGCTCGTGAGATGTGATCACGAAGAGCTTGGCTAGGCGAGGGTAACGTTCCATAGAGCTTCAGATATCGACTCGTCTGTGGGCGGGCCTTGGGCTTCAGAGAGCTGCCCGGCACGGCATGATAGCATTCCTTCACACCGGGGTCTTCATGAGGAACATCACGAAACAATTCCGGGCAGACGCGGAACTTCATTAAGACTCCGGCACGAATGACGTTGACGCGCTCTGACTCCGGCACGAATGACGTTGACGCGCTCTGACTCCTCGCGCTCTGGTAGTGACGTCCTTCTGTATGTCAACTTTATCTCAATAGCTGGTCTTGGTGTGTTTCCCCCGGCTCCAGTCCATGTAAGACCACTTAAGATGAAGGAAAAGTGAATGCCGCCCAGGCATGCCCACGCTCCTCTGGAATTCGGGACGATGTTTGCGTCATCCCTCCGCTGATCTTCCATCTGTAGAAAATTGCGTGAGCCAAGGTATTTGGGAAAAGTTCCATTCCGCTTCCCGAGCCCTAGGAACGCGACTCCCGGTTCGATCCGATGAAACTGAACTCGGTTTGATCCGGAAGACCCTCTCGCGAAGGATACGATGCGAGGGTGAGCTCGCTACAGATCACGAAAGAAAGATCTCGAGCTCAGAAGGAGGCGTCCCATTCACGATCGAAACCGAGAGGAAACGTTCCTGTGTGAGTCGGCGAGATCCCACACGAACAACGTGAATAGAGGAATTCGTCAATAATTCCGCAGAGCACGAGCATGTTTTCGACGAGCTGAACACATCATCAAGGGATCATTCGAATGTCGCGGTCGCCAGGAAGTCCTGCGAAAACAACAACTATATCCGAATGTGCCCTCGATCGAATCGCCATATATCAAGGTCGCGTGATGGACTATATGAATGTTCAACCTCCAGTCGGAATCCATCAGTCGGAATTTCGAATCGTGACGAGACACAAAGTTCTCCGGAAGGGTGGGCCAGATGAGAGATTCTGTGCACGTCACAACTTAATGATTGTGATATATGAGAAGCGGGGTAGAGTTGACTCAGGGAGTCGCCATGTCGAACCCAGGGAGAGCAGGTAAGCACCATAACTTCGTAGGTAGTACTGACCTGCGGGAGACATCGAGCAAATATGTGTCGATTTCTCCGCAATCGAGTTTGTCCGCCACGTTTCAGAGAACTGCCAGTTGATCACAGGATGTGCCTCTCTCCATGAGGATGCTCTATGATGTGCCTCGGCATCTCGGAAAGATTCCGGAATCTCCCGCAGAGCAGATTCGCTATTCAGAAGAAACGAGCTCAACTCTCCGTGTTTCCTCCGTGCACCATTCTTCTACTGGCGCGGTCCCCGACCTGATGGGTTCCGACCCGGGACCGAAATGTAAGGGTCACTCCAAGTCTCTGAACGAGCTGCGTGTCGACCACCAGATCGCATGGCTCTGATTTGTGATCATAGCTTCGATTTCCGCACGCTTTCCAGGTCATTATTCAGATAGCCCGATTCCGATATAGCCGGAGAATCGAGCCCGCTATATTAGGTCGCAGTTCCTGATGACGTGATCTGTTTGAACCAGAGTAAGGAACCCACGTATCCGGTCGACAATTACAACCATTGAGTGCAACAAGGAACGCCCCGCCTGTATTCCACTGGTCTCAATCACCATTCGATGTGAAGTGGATCAGACTTTCTCTGGATGAGATCTTATCGCAGAATCCGCAAGCCGGCTCCCAACAGACTTTGAATTCTCGAAAATCGCCGCATAATTTCCTTAGACTCTCATCCGAATTCCACTTCAATTTCGAGTGCCGGCTCGCGAGGTCATTCCGTGCTCATCGCGAAGCCTCATGCCCTATGCGATCGAAATCCCTGAATCCTCCAGAGTTCCCGAAAATGTTACTGGAGTACCCTTGTGTCTCAGATAAAAGAGACCTTCTGTTCCTCCTAGCCCCATGCTACCCAAGCTCTTATTCATCGGCACAAATGTGACAGTCCTTCATCAAAGTCCTCTGAATGCGGGACTCTCTCGAGAGGAGATTCGTTATGGCTCTCGCCGACGAATCCGCTGTCCAGAACGATCCCGGATCGATTCCGTGGACGGTGTTTGCGACACTTTTACGAGGGCGAGAGCGCATCGGGAATGACGACTTCATTCCACGAGATCGTTTCGCTCCGAGACTCTAGGGCTCATGATGTGTGAAGCTCGATTCTACACAGTTTTCCCTGATTGCGGGTCTCCTGATCGAATTTCAACGGAATCCTTGCAAATTGGAATCTGCAGCGGCGGAGTCTCCGACCCTCCGGTTCTCGAAATTTGAGTATGACGCAGCTCCCACCTGCGAGGGGGGGGGGGGTTCTCTCCGAGACTACCGGAGAAGTTTCCGCTCGACACAGCTCTCCCGGGAGGCCTGAGACAGGGAACTATTCGTGTCAGAGGTACCTCTCTCGTGTCTACGGGGACAGCGGTTGAATCGATGTTCTACATTTTGTATTGACTGAACCGTTCAAAATTGACATGATTAATGGGAACGACCGAGCGACGGACGGCGAATCCCTGAATTTGAATTACGGATCGATTTCGAATTCGGTTTTCTGGTCTTACTGAGGAATTCGCTTGGTCCACGGCGGCATTGTCGCTGAGCGAGATAATTATCCACGATTTTCGGAACGTGGTCGATCTGACAACTCACCGAGCGTTTTCACGATCCATCTTGCCGAAACCGAACCTCATAACTCAGTTCCGCCCGGGATTCTGAGCTGCTCCTGTTTTGATATTTTTCGGCGTGTATGGCAGGAAAGACAGTTAGCACCGGTAATTCGTTCAACACTCAGATCCTCTTCCACCGCGGTCGCCGCTGCTGCCATGGCGATCCCACAAACACGAAACGTTCCCCCGGACTCCTGGCGCCCTCTGCACATAGCCGACAAATCACACGGACCCTGTTCCGGAGATGTTTCTCGTGCGATGAAGCGCGAGATCCACGGAAGGTCGAGCTTCTCGAGGCTACGAAAAGTCTGTATTCTATTCTCGTGATAACCTCGATCCAAGGACCAAGGGTTCCGACGCAGTCTGATCGTCCTGGATAATATATAATATCCGGATAATAAGGCTCACACCCGAGTGGGGACTGGGTAACTATCGATCGGCGTGTTTGGCACTGTCTGGCATAGGGTCGCTTTGAAACGAGTGACGAGTTTCTCCCGTGGAAGTTGGTCGAAAGAATCATGCGAGCCCAGCGGCGACGGAAAGCTCGAAGAAGAGCGGAGAGGAGCCTCTCGGCTGCCTGGAGAATAACAGGTCTCCTACGGCAGAATGGGGCAGCAAGTCCCCCGAGTTGGTAATGCATACTCACTTCGACGCCTCGCGTTCTACGTGAGCGGTCAAAAAATGAAGAGATTGGATGAGAAGAGATCAAAATTCCCGGGGGGGAAGGCCGCTCCTTACACGGATGCGTCTTGGAGAGAAACATCAAACACATCATGAGATAACAGACATAGCACCAAAAGACTGCTCGACGAGAATGAATCATATACCAATTACGTCTGAAATCATTCCGCCTGACCGAAGAACATCATCACCGAGAGACGTCGGGGTCTCTCAATGCCGACACCATCGCCTGAAAGAGCGATTGCCGCGAAAGGTGAACTACCGCACCGAGACGCTCGAGGCGTCCAGGAGCAGCTCGACTCAAGATTCTCGTTCAGGGGAAGTCAACTGGAGAGTCAGCAGCGCATCCGAGGAGGAGGCGATCGAGCGCCTCGTAGATCCCATTCCATAATTTTTAGCACCTATGTTCCTCTTTTTTGTCCCAATGGAACCGAGAAGGGGAAAAACAAGGCAGAACAGCGGGCGGGATATCATCTCGTCCCATTTGTGATCGGAAGCTCGGAAGAAGTATTGGGGATCGCCGCACGCGACTCGCTTGAGCGAATCGGCAAGAGGGTGTAACGTAGCATTGGGGACCCACTCCTGGGTCGAAAAGTTCTCGAAGCCAAATATTGTTGTTCGTATACTCTGAGGGAACGCGGGAATAAAGACGGCTATCCCATCGGAGCGAACGTCGCTCAGGGATATCGATCTTCTACCTTGAGATCTAAAGTTACACTACCTGCCATCGTCCCGGAGTACCAATAAATTGAAAGACTTCGACACAATGAATTTCAGCGTTCGATCATTCTTGGAACCTCGAGCTTTCCGAATGAAGTAGTGATGGTTTCTGGATGCTATCCTTAATTGGTGTTTCGGACTATTCCTGACATTCAACTCGACGAGTTTTTTTCTTTCCAGGCGCTACTTGGGTAAGACCGAGAAGGACTGTCGCAGAGGCCTGAAGCACGCGGGAGCTCCAGTGAATAATGAGCGAGGATAATCCAGGACCTATTCGTCACCATTGGAGCTATTTCAGCCCAGAATTAAGAAATTCGTCCATCCGACGATCAAGTCACGACTCACAGGAGCTCCTCCGCACAAGTTCCGAATCGACTGGCGCTTCGATCTCAAAAATTGAGTCCGGAGGCCAATCTCATGAACTGAGTTCGCAGATATGTACAATGGGACAGGTCCCTCCAATTCCAGTCGATAATTCCCCTGAACTTTTTAGGGCAGATCGCGGAGTCCCTGGGACCTCCCTCCGAGAGTGATCCCAAACTCGGCAAGTGTCGTATCTTCTAGAATTCGGGTTTATGTACAATCTTTCGGTACTCTCAAAACAGAGATCCGAACTAATTCCTCCTCGAATGAATGGCTCCTGCGCCGAACTCCGGAGTCTTCCGAATCGGCTAGTGCCCCAGAAGCTTCATCGGCCGCTGACTGTGAACGATAATCGTGCGCGCCGGGATCCTGGATGGGGAAGAGAACAGGCCTCCAGGGCTTGTTCGCTGCATCATTTGCAGATGTGTGACATAACGAATCATATCTCCAAATCCCGGCCATTCCTCTGAAGTCGCAAATTTGGGAGGGTACGCCTAACCGTCCTCGGCAGTTGATATGCGACGCAATACAACTCTGAATGTTATCTCGACGAGGCTTTGCCTAGAGAGTCAACATCCCGAGCCACGGTGGTCATTAGGGATCTCCTATCAGCTCCGTAAGCTCGTCCGACGCGTATGCTATCCCGGAATTTGCGCTTGGCGTTTTTCTCGTAGACTCATCGCATCCTCACTCGAGTCCCTCAGTGCAAGATCTAGCCGCGCTCCCCTAACGCTTGCTCCCAATAACCTGATTACCCTTCGCCAGTCTATAACGAGCGTTGAAACCAGGATGGACCGCCAGACAACGTGTTCTCGCTGACCTAAGTAATTCCGGGTCGCGAATCTCGCTCAATCATACGACGGAAGGACTAGAATAATTTAGGAATTGAATGTTCCTATCGTGATTGTCGGACACCAAGGAAGAAATGCGCCCACTGGAGTTCCCCACCTCCTCTGCATCTTAATAGGCTCTGTCAAAGGTGAATTATTACTTCCTGGCTCTCGGCTCGCCTCAATGGCCCCGTTCACGATACAAACGGAGAATTATTTGTCACGCGTGATTCGCGATGCTCGGAATGCGGCAGGTACACTCCCGGTCAAGGAAAAATCCGGGGTCACTCAGGCTCAACCTGGGACCACCCGTCGCTCTGTACACTCGCTTTTTCCCGAAGTCCCTCAGCGGAGAGTCATTTCAGCTCCTCGGTCCAGTGAGAGACTTTTCGCCCCCCAACTGAGCGCACAAGCCGCTTCGAAGATGTCATTTGCTCTTACCGATCTCTATCAGAGCAATTAATTACTAGTTCGTCGCAGCCAATCCCGTCCCTTGGCATTCGTTGTAATTCGAGCTTCCGAGCCAATCAAATTCTTCCCGAATAAGTTGTCTTCTCGTGAACCGGAGTCCCGGCTGGCTTCCTCAGGCGGATAGCGTTCCGGCTCCGCATCTCGGGAGCTCCGTGCACTTTAAATCCACCAGGAGACGTGCTGTCAGGACACCCCCTGCGTCCCAGAGCCTTCATTGAGCCGGACTTCGGAGAGTAATCATGCGTCAGCGCTGGGGAAAAATCCTAGGGCGATTCCAGAAAAAATAGGAGCTACCCCTCAGACTTCCCGAATTTTTCACCGGGATCGCTCTATGATTCCGTCTGCCGTATTTGCCACAGTAGCGGCGCGAGAGGGTGTCGCGAACGCTATTGCTCCCTCGTGCAAGCCCGATCCATACCTGGGCCTCACGCCTCCCCTGGGAATCTCGATTTCCCAACGAGGAACATCGGCTTGCCGCTGGGATGATACCCGGGACCCTCCGGAACCCTCCGACGATGGCGACGACACTATAGACAACGATTACTAGAATGGCTGTACGATTATAAAACCGGGGGACGACGGGAGCACCCCACGAGACGAGTGACATCGCCAGAAATAATAATATAATAGAAAATAAACCATCCTCGAGATTGAAGTTTTGTCCTTCCACTTCAGAACAGCCGCCACGAAGTTATCGACTCGGGAATGTGATAATGCAACTCTGAGGATTCCCGGAGTCCCCACGAGCGAATGGGAAAGAATCGGTATACCTCCTCGCAGAAGCCATATACAAGTCCAGTTATTAAGTTTTCGAATCCAGCGGCGCCAGCATTTGCGGGATCGATTCTAAGAGTGTCCCTGTATGTGTCCTGAAGCCGTAGACTAATGCCACGGTCATCGGATCGTGGACCCTGTGGGGTCGATGATATCCAACAGCGCAACCTTCGGAAACCCTTCCCGGGGGCAATTTCTCAGATTCTCTTCCCGCTCGCCATCCGCCGTCCTCTAAGAGACTTCTGGAAGAAGGCGGACTTCCCGAATAAGCTTTTGCGAGGTCATGTCGACCGAGGACGAGTGATTAAAATGTCTATCCCCGGGCCTTCGGCCGAGTAGTCGTTCTGATCCAGGATCATCAATCAGAGGGTCTTTGGTGCTCCTACTCCATGCTATCGGTTGAATCGGCGGCCTGCCAGCCGTCTCCCGTTTTATCCGGCACCGAAGCCTTTCCGAGGTTTTACAGTCTCCATCAGGCTTCGGAAATCTTCAATTTCCTGACGCTGACCGCATGGAATATTTTCGGCTCGACGTCGAGCGAGACTTCCACGTAGCGCTTGATGGAGAAAAGGGTATGAGGAGGGTCGGATTCGTTCTCTTCCGCGGCGGATGAATAGCAGATTCGCAACTCCGACGGGAGTTTATAATCGGGCTGGAGGCTCTGTTGTGCGAAATTCTTCGACGGTGGGGCTAGAATTCCAACTCGATCAAGGTCGATTCTCCGAGCGAGCCACGGAAGGGCTCGGCACGGCTGACCTCGCACGGCTACTACTAGATACATACGTATTGAGCTGAGTTCGGAGGATCTGAATTTCAAGCAACCTCGGAGCAGAGCTATTCGTCTAATTCGACGCAGCAAAAAAAAGAAGAGGAGAAAAGAGAATAATGGCTTCGAGCATCTGAGTAAGTGAAGTCTCGTTTGCGCCTAGCGAAGGTGTTCGTGTGCAATCGTTTTCTCCTCCTCCCGTCCACTCGGCGTAAGCCTGGGAATATCATCTCCATTACGCATTCATTTGCATAGGCTGCGATCGCTCTCCTCGTTCGGCTCGGAAGTCCGATCCCTCCGCTCGTTTCGACGTCAGACCGGAGTCCCGAGATCGTATATCAAAGCGTACTTGGGCGATATATCTCACTCGTTATCTTTCTCTTCCGATCTCGAGCCTC